CTCATTACTGGTGACCACCTAAGTGATAAAAGTGAGAAAAGAGGAGATGGATGCCCACTCTGTGAACAACGTGAGACTCTATTCCACTTATTTAGTGAATGCGGTTGGACTTGGCATTTATGGAGACCAACGCACCAGGCCGAGTGTTTTGAGAAAGCAAAGGACATGAGTAGTATGGACTGGGTAAAGGTGTTTCAGAGCATGGAGGAGGCTATTTGTGAGGAGTAAAGTGTGTTGCTGTGGTACTTCTGGAAGGGGAGGAATGCGCAGTGCTTTAACGAGATTAAAAGTGATGAGGTGATGATTGTCTCATGTGTGGTGAGAATGCTCCAGGATTATCAATAATATCAAGGCTAAGAGATCCCAACAGGTGCGAATGTAGCCACGACGATGGGAATGATCGGAAGCAGGAATGGTAAAGGTAAATACAGATGCGAGCATCATGCAAGGGGGAGGAACAAGATTGGGGGTTGTCATTCGCAATGACAGAGGCGATTTTCTCATAGCAGCAGCGCAGAAAGTGACCGGAAGCTGGGAAGTGGAGACGGCGAAAGCCCTTACGCTTGAGCTTGGATTACAATTAGCCAAACAATTTCAGTATGAGCACATAGTGCTAGAGGTGGATTGTCTTAGCTTGATCCATAAGCCGAACGAGGCGGATAAGGTGCAAAAAGAGGCCGGGACTATCTGTAGAAGCATTAGACGATTGCTTGCGAGCTCTGAATCAGGAAAATGGCATCATGTTATTTGACAACAGAACACGGCAGCGCATGTGATGGTGCATTGTGAGACGAATTGGGATTCCACAATTGTATGGGTAGATAAACTTCCAATTTTCCTTATTGATCAGCTGGGGCTGGATACTGTAACCAATCTTTCTGATTAATGAAGGAAAGCAGGTTCCTGTAAAAAAAAACATGTAAAGGGTAAAAAGCAATTGATTCTTTTTTTTTCAGTGCTAGGTCACGTGCAAGTTAAATTTCTATAAAATTAAAAATAGAAGATGAAGAATTTGGAAAATAATAAATGTGATTCTCCCATAGAAAATAAATGTGACCAAACCAATCACAATTGATTTTGTGGGTAGTAACCAGAGAATCTATGTAAATTTACAAACTAGTCTCGACCCCAACTACTAAGTCGGAATACAAGTTGTTTTAAGAAAAAGTTAACTTGTTCATATGGATGATAATGTCATGACACTCATGAAGCATTATGACGAATTTTGTGGTACGCATAATGAGATTTTAATGGTTTGGTTTTTCATATTTATGACCAGCCTTTTGTGGTTTGCTTTATCGTATTTTTGGTTTGCATTAAGAGGTTTATGGTGTGCTTTGGAAATATTTATGGTTTGCTTTGTGGTGTTTCTGATTTGCTATAGGTGATTTGTGGTGTGGTTCAGGAGATTTTTGGTTCACATTAAGAGGTTTCTGGTGTGCTTTAGAAATATTTCTGATTTGCTTTGTGGTGTTTCCGGTATGCTTTAGGTGATTTGAGGTGTGGTTCAGGAGATTTAATGTATGCATTAGAAGGTTTCTCGTGTGATTTAGAAATATTTATGGTTTGCTTTGTGGTGATTCTGGTCTGTTTAAGGTAATTTATGGTTTGCATTAAAAGGTTTCTGGTGTGCTTTAGAATATTTATGGTCTGACATACTTTAAAAGATTTGTGGTATAGATTAGGAGGTATTTTTGCGCTTTAGAAATATTTGTGGTGTGCTTAGTGATGTTTCTGGTTTTCTTCGTGATATTTATGGTGTACACTAGGTGGTTTTAGGTTTGCTTTAAAACGTTTGTGTATGCTTTAAAAACAATGATTCCAGTACCCACTCTTTCACACCAATCACAAATAGTCATAATCTTCGCCAGAAAGAACCTGAAAATCATCATCAGGAGATGCCCAACCCCACTCGCCATTCTCATCCATCATCATCTCTTTGCTCTTCTCCACCCAACATGACCCAGAAATACACTAATATTTTAAACACTATCTTGCCAATCTCATTTTCGCATTCATCTCGTATAATCCGTTCTTATCCATTACACTCCACCAGCATGTGCAACATCCCCTGCAGATTGTGCAGTCCCCTGTATTCATCGGCTCCTTCAAGTACCACAAGTGAAGGAACGCCACTCGACTCTACGAAAATCATTCCCCACCAAAACCTTCTCGTAACTGCCATCCAAAACCAAACCAAATTCACCCTCTTGTCGCCCCCAACCATCAAAGCAGATCCACCGTGACCACAATTGGATAAAAGAGTGAATGAATGAGAAATCTCCAGTCGAAACTTCACGTTCCAGGAGAAACACTCCCAAAAATCCTGTGCGGCGCTGTTTTGAAATTTGGAACCACCTTCCAGCTGAGGTCCCAGCGAAATCTTCTTCAATTTCCTGACCACCATATCTGAAATCCATATCCAGAAGTTGGAGAGGCAGTCATGGAGGGCCGAGGATGTGCGACCATCAGAGCTGTAATCGGCAAGGCTGGTGACGTTGACGACGAAGCCGCGACAGTGCTCAACACTATGATTCGAGCTCCGACCACCACTACCCTCTTTGTCAACATCTTTATTTGCTGTCGTTGAAGAAGAACGACAATAGAAATATGAGGCGATGGAGGAGAGATGGTTCTGGCAGAGAGCTCCGACGAAGGATGAAGTGAAAGGCAATGAACTCGAGTTGGCGGTGCCGCCGCCGCTGTTGCAGTTGTTGTGAAGAAGAGAGAGCTTGCTGTCAAAAAAAAAAAAGAGAGAGAGAGCTCCGACGGAGCAAAGTTGTTAGAGGAAGTAGAGAGTGTGGGAGCGAAGTTTAATTCGTTGCTTTTTGGATTTTAATTCAATTTTTTTATTTTGTGATATTTGTCAATTTACCCTTTTACACTATTGTTACTATAAAACCAATTCTAATGTTGTTATACTATCTACACCCAATTTTCATACCTCTTGGTCTAGACAAACTACCTTTAGTGAGGAGCCTCTTTTGCCTTCTGGAAACAACATTCGACTTGCATGTTTAGGTTAGCAGCACATGTTCGTTGTCAGTCTGGAAGGAGAAATTCTTCTTGATTTTGTTGTCCAAATAAATATTTTAGAAAATTAAATCAATATAAACTTCTTCACAAAATTTTATACCATCTAAAAAAATCAGGAGTAATACAACTAGGAAATTCGAACTATCAGAAAAATGTCACTTGTGTCCCAACTTATTAAATATTTCATTTTTGTCTTGAACTACTACTCTGTTAGTGTGGATCGACTTTGACCGTTAATATTTAACAGAAAACCCAGTCATCGTCGAGGTGACGTCTGACATGGAATATTTAATTTCATTTTGAACTAAAGTGAGAACGTGTTATAAATTTTCATTTTCATTCATCATGTAGCACAAATTACTATTATTATTCCATCACCTATACATGCTTAGGCGATGCCTAAGCCAGCTAAGCGCTAGGCAATACCCCAACACGGATTTACGCCTAGTGCCTTCTTGAATATTGCTAGAGAGAGAAAATAGGTTTTAAGAGAGAGAAAAAATTTAGTTTGTAATGTGAATAATATCCACTTGTACTATAAATAATTATAATTTGTAATGAAAAAATGTTATGGTTTGTAATGAAATTAGTCTATTTTGTAATGTAAGTCATATCGATTTGCACTGTTAGTAGTATTTAATGTAAATTATTCACGTTCGTAATGTTAGTCAGTATAAATTTATATTGAAAGTAGTTGTAATTTGTATTGACAAAGGATTATGGTTTGTAATGTAAATTAGTATGATTTTGCGATGAAATTCATATTCATTTTTTATTGTAAGTAGTTTGTCATTTATATTAGTGTGGCTTATAATGTAAGTCCTATCCGTTTGTATCCTAAGTAGTTATAAGTAATGGCAAAAAGTTATGGTTTATAATGTAAATGCAAATATGATGCAGATGTCATGGAAACATAGTGTGATTTGTATAACTTGTAAAATTGGTTTGTTTAATTTTTTTATATGGTTTGCACGTTGTATACCTTGTAATATTAGTTTGCATACTTTAATGATATGATTTTTACATTTTTTTAATGTTAGTTTGCATACGTTTATAGTTTGATTTGTATTTTTTTTTATTTTACTATCTAGTTGGTATATCATGTAGTAGTGGTTTGTATACTTTTACTATTTAGTTTGTACGATTATATACTTCTAGTTTATATCGTCATAAAGGTTCAGGTTTTATTTTGTAAGTTTTATAAATATTGTGTACTGATTAGAAAACATTTTAAAAGCATCCATTAAAATTGTCTTCTTTGAAAATTGAATTTTTTTATAATGACAATATTACCTCAAATAGTTAATAAAAATATATTTCATTAATTTTATCATTGAATCTATAAATATAGATCTAAAAGCTAAGAAAATGTTAGTCACTTAACTAATAACCCTATATTCACTTGAAATGATATTTTTCATCTTTCGATTTTGAGCAGTGTTTGCAAAACCATATCGTATTATCGAAATTCAAACCAATAGACAATTTTAGTCATATGAAATGGTCCAAATGGCAATGGGGCACCCATACCCACTCTGTGCACTAAGTGTGGGGTCAGGTTGGTTATTACCCATGCAGGTACGAGGAGGGGACGGGTCGGTCCATTCTTATGTTATTTGAAAGAAAAAAACATCGATAATTAACTCTTTAACGCGGATACATTGAGAAAACACTTCCTAAAATGAACGAGAAATATAGCAAAAGGAATAATTGAATATAAATAGTTGAAAGATAGAGTCTTAAAGTTACTTTGTGATTAAAATATTACGAAAAAAATTTATTATTTATTTCATGAATTTAAAAATAAAAAGTTGATGATATTTGTTGGATTGTAACTTTGTAAGTAAACTATTTTGAAATAGGTTTTATATATAGTTAAATTCATTGATTGTTAATGATTTTCATATATAGTTTGTTAAACCATCAACCAGGTATAAATCTATTTGACAACCTTGGTGAATGGTGCCCTTCCCTGAATTGTGAGATAAATATATAAATAATAAATAAATAAAATAGAAAGGGAGCGAATTATGCAAAGTCGGAAGTCGTAACAACAAAATCTCCTCTACTTTCGTTTCCACTGCAGTTTTCCTCTCTCGCAAACGAAAAACCATAGAAAACGAACAACAACAAACCCTCTTCTCCCCGAATTACTTTCTTCACCAAATTTATCCCGTTTACCGATTGAACGACCACCACCTAGTCGCCGCGACCTCATAGTCTTCGCCGGCCAGCAGCTCCGATTCCCAGGTCCACGACTCCCGTTCCGTCAATGGAAGAGTACCGCCGTTGAATCGGGCCAGCCAGAGGCAGGCGCAGCAAGGAAGAAATTTGACGGACCTGCAGACAGACAGAGAGATCTAAAGGACATTCGAAATTTGTAACTTTTTTATGCTGTAATGGGTGCCGCTGGTTCCAAACTTGAGAAAGCTCTTGGCGATCAGTTCCCTGAAGGCGAGCGATACTTCGGCCTCGAGAATTTCGGCAACACTTGCTACTGCAACAGCGTCTTGCAGGTTCCCTCCCCTCTCTATCTCCCCAATCCTTGTCCGTTCGGCTGATTGTCTTTTGTGGGGTTTCGAGTACTCCAAATTCCCCCAAAACGTCTTTGTGAACCCCCAATATGCGTATGGCCGTGGGTTTTTGGGGTTCTCTGCATACGTTGCTAGCTGAAATCTCCTATGAAAATTTATGCTCTTTGTGGAATAGATGATGGTGGAATTTGTGATTAGGTCAAGATTGTTATTATTTTGCGCTAGAATGGAAGTGGTTCAACTCCAGTTTCTGGGTTTCGATTGGAGTCATGATTTACCCTTTGTGGATGGTATGTTCGTTCAGTATCAGTTAACGTTCCTTTGAGTATATCCGAAAGTTGATGAATGATGCGTGAAGAGTCCGCACTTCCCTCTGGTGTCAATTTTGTAGATAATTTCATTTCTCCATATTCTCAACTTTTGGCATCAATGTTCTTCATCCCCCAATTTCTCATTTCTCGTTTTCTTGCTTTATTGCTGCAGGCTTTATACTTTTGTGTACCATTCCGGGAACAATTGCTTGAATACTATGCAAGTAATAAATCCACTGGGGATGCAGAAGAGAATCTCTTAACATGTTTGGCAGACTTATTTACACAGGTGATTGTCTGACTAAATAATATTTAGCTTGTATCATATTCTATTTTACATACCATTTCGATATTTAAGGATCTTGAATTCTGAATGCTTCGTCCAAAATAATGGTAGACCTACCTCGCTTCATTGTTCTATATGATTATTTGTTAAGGCAGGATGTTGCAAGTGAATGGTCCGCCTCTCTTTTTCCTCTCTAACTTCTCAAGGAAACAGCAATATCTTTGACTGTGTTCTATAGTGTCATTGTTGGATTTTGTTGCATTTGGATTGGTTTCCCACATTTACCTGCTGAATCTTACGTAGCTCTTGCTTCGTCTGTTTTAAAGATTCGAGCGGTCTATTATGTCTCTGCTTTCCTACTCCTGTTTAGTGGAAAAGGCCTACTCACCAGATAATTATTTTCTTCTTCATATTTTCCTGCACCACCTAGTTATTGGCATTCTGGATTCATGTCATACTTTCTCTTCTATTTAGATAAGCTCACAAAAGAAGAAAACTGGTGTCATTGCACCCAAGCGGTTTGTCCAGCGACTGAAAAAACAGAATGAGCTTTTCCGTAGCTATATGCACCAGGTATGCCTTCAATCTTTCAAACAATTATCTTGAGGTGCATCCTGATTATAATACATGGTTTTCATAGCCATTCATAATATTAAGGCCGAATGAAACTGTCGATTTTGTAGGATGCTCATGAGTTTTTGAATTTTTTGCTCAATGAACTTGTTGACATTCTGGAGAAAGAGGCTAAAGCTGTTAAAAGCGATACAGAAACTTCATCTCCACCTGAAAAGATTGCCAATGGCTCAAAGACTGCTCTGCCGAATGGAGTTTTGAAGGAGCCTCTTGTTACTTGGGTGCACAAGAATTTCCAGGTGAGATTCCTTAGTCTATGCATATTCAGCTATGATAATTACCTTGTTGGAAAACAAAAGCGTCCGATATGGTTTGCACTGAAATCACCTTGGTTATTTTTCTGTATCAGGGAATACTTACGAATGAAACCAGGTGTCTGCAGTGTGAAACAGTGACAGCTAGAGATGAGACCTTCTTTGATTTGAGCCTCGATATTGAACAGAACAGCTCAATAACTAGCTGTTTGAAAAATTTTAGTTCAACTGAGACTCTGAATGCAGAAGATAAATTCTTCTGTGACAAGTGCTGCAGGCAAGTTATTTTACTATCATCGTCTGGCATTTTGGTCTTCTATGAATGTTTACTTCTTCATTAAATGATTGACAATGACATTGCTAGTTTCAGCTACTTGGTCCCAAACCTTCTTGGTCCGTCCCATTGAGTCATTGTTCCTCTTTCAAACAGCTAGTTATTGACATTAAATCTTATGGGGTTCAGTTGCATGACAGTCTCCAATGCATCTGATAAGTATTAGCCTAAAATTTCTATTGATCCTTGTCCTTGTACCAACTGCTTGGAATGGTAATTTAAGGCATCTTGTTCTGTGCATTCTGTCTCATTGCATACCAAAGTTTCTCTGGTCATGTGTGCGTACTTTTCTCTTATAGTAAATTTGGTTTCTGGTAGTGATCAATGAATTGAACGTTGTATAGTAATTGTTTGGCCTCCCTAATGCTGTATGGAAATATGCTGTGTGCAGCTTACAAGAAGCTCAAAAGAGAATGAAGATAAAGAAGCCACCCCATATTCTAGTCATCCACCTCAAGAGGTTTAAATACATCGAGCAATTGGGTCGTTACAAGAAGTTATCATACCGAGTAGTGTTCCCCCTCGAGCTGAAGCTGAGCAATACAATGGAAGATTCAGATATCGAGTACTCGCTCTTTGCTGTGGTTGTACACGTTGGGAGTGGGCCCAACCATGGACACTACGTCAGCCTTGTGAAGAGCCATAATCACTGGTTATTCTTTGACGATGAGAATGTGGAGATGATTGATGAGTCTGCCGTGCAGACATTTTTCGGTTCAGCACAAGAGTACTCAAGTAACACGGATCATGGGTATATTTTGTTCTATGAGAGCATCACTGCTGCAAACAAGACTTGAAAAAGGAGAGAAGGTGGCCTTGATGTTTTTTTTGCAAGTAGGTAACTTGATTAATCATTTGGACTGGACTTCCCTCCTCTCTTTCGTGAACTTCCCTCTTCTCTTCTCCTTTGTTTTTTTCCCCCTCCCTTCTTTTTTCATCCTCTTTCTAGCAGTTTCACTTTTTCATGCCATTTTAAAACTCTGCAATCTCCAGCACTGGAGATGCTAAGATGGTTACAAGTTATGATGACGATGATGCAGTTGTTGAACAAAATGTATACTTTGAGGGTGTTCGTTTACATTGTACAGCAGATGATGGTGGGAAGCACACTATCTATCTTTCTTTCTTTCTTTTTTTTCCAGAAAATAAGGGTGGAAAAAGAGAGCAGCCAGTGTATATGTGTGAGAACACTTTACATGGAACAGAAAGAAAACAGATGTATTTTTTAGATTGAGATGAATGTTCAGTTACAACATTTGACAAATTGCATCTGCGACATTGCTCCACAAATTTATACATGTTTTCCTATAGCTGCTCACCAATATTGTACACTTGCTATCATGCCTAAGCTGTAGGCATGAAGATATCATCATCCAACAGCGATTCAAGATCAATTAGGTCATCAAAATCAGGCCTTGCTCTTTCAGAACTTTGAACAGACTGCATATATGGAAGTATTTGTCAAGCATTGACCAGGATAATGAAGCGGTTATTGCGATATTTATCACAAGAATTAGTGAGGATTTAGTTCTCTACCTTTGTCTCCTCGATCTCTGTCACTACATTTCGAAGTCTGCAGTATTGATCTCTAGCTTCTGGATACTGAACCATGGACTTAACCCTCGCAAGAGCAATCTGAGATCTTGCCTCTGTTTGCTTCCTTCCTTCTTTAAAGAAATCGTAATCGTCTTCCCTGGATGATGGACGTTGCTGAATGCTATTGGTGTTTTGACCTTCAGTAAATGACTCGGGTTTGAATCCGCGGAGACCACTTCTCTTCCTTCTCCATCGAAGTATCACCTTCTCCACAATCCCCACTGACCATATGATCTTTCTGTAGTTCTTCCTCACCTGGTGTCCTCTTACATGAGCCTTCATTGGAAAAACCAAAACCCACAGGGGAGGATTAAGTTTTCACTATATCCCATCAAAAGTCAGATACAGTGAGAAACAGCAATACCTCAATTAGCAATTACCTGAATCTTGACTATTTGTTGCCGGATAAACAAGAACTTCCTCCTACCTTTCCAACTCCGAAACTTGTTTTGAATCCTCACTGCAGCAGCTTGCACTGGCTCGTCAGGCTTCTTGCTGGTTCCCTTCACCTTGATTAACGAAAGTGCTTCTTCCTCGTCTGATATTCTTAGCTTCCCATCACCACGCTCTTTTAGCCGCTTTCTTTGAAATGACTGCACCCTGAACACTTGGTGAATACGAGCAGCAGCTTGAGTGGCATTGCTCAAAGCATCTAGCGACTCTTTCAAGGACTTTCCATTATTATCGTCTGGTGTTGTCCAAGGTTCTAGGACAAGTTGGACATTATTTGCACTAGAGACGGCAGGAACACCATTATTACTACCATGCTGCTTGTCCAGAGCTAGTGTGGTGAAGTGTGAAGTTAAAGCAGATTCAGCAAGGAAACCGGCGATTCCCTTGTGTCCATTTACAGAGGCTAAGTCAGCAGGTGTCCTGCTCGTAGGGTTTCCAGGAGTGGGATCTGTTAGTGCTCCAGGTGCTGCTCCAAGATGTAATAGGGAAGCAACTGTCCGCTCCCTGGAAAGAAGAAAAGAAAAAGTAATCACATCTTCCATTTGACAGGAACGTAATAGAATCATCACCTAATGATATAAATTATCGCGAAAGAGAAATGATTTGAGGATCACAACTATATCTCCTTCAAAAATGCTCTTCGACTTCTCATTCAAATCTGTTATGAAATGACTTTAGAGCTAAAAAAATGATCCAAGCATGCAAGACCGCAAGCAACTTTCAGAAAACAAAGATTTAAGTAATTCTCATTTTTATGCTTACCTGCCACAACAAGCAGCCCAATGAAGGGCAGTCCACCCATTGACATCACGAAAATCAACTCTCACCCCAGCAACGACCGTTGGCTCAAAGGCCCAATCAAACCCTAGAGCAGCTGCCAAATGCAGCACACCTTGCCCACTTTCATCCAATACACTTGCACCCTTCCCGCCTTCGGCTACCTTCTGCAACAGCCAATCATGCAGTTTATCCTTTAAGAACTTCTGAAGTAGCTGGTCCTTCACTTTCTGAGCCGAAAACCCTTCCTCTGAAGTCGACCTCACCATCAAATCCCATTGATCACCTTCTTCTTTCAGCAGGAATCTGAGTTTACTGCTCATCTGGAAAAATTCACTTTCACCTATACTTCTTGCATCGAGCTTCACAGGGGAAACTGGACTCAGGCACAACAGCTTTCCAAATCTCATCTCGAGGTTTTCAACAGTGTTGTGACTATCGGCAGGACACACATCGTGGACAATGCTGACACGGAATTCAAATTCACGTACTTCGCTGCATGCTATCCTGTTCGAGCAAGTGATGTAGAATGGGATTCTCCCAGCCTCTAGCAAAGGGTTATAGCAACGGAGAACACCATCTGCTATAATCTCGACTGGAACTTCGACTTCTCCAAACATACATGACCATTTGCAGTTTTCTAGGTCTTCTTGGCTCTTCAAGAATTTTCCTGTGATCAAGACCTGCAGCACGTATAAAGACACGATGAAGCTAATCTTCCAAGTGTCTGATCTCCATGCCAGCATGTTGAGTTTCTTATGACTTTATGTCGTAAGAAGATGAAGATTGAGAAAAATAGCTTGACTCATCAGATTTTTTTGGAGACAGGACAATTTGATGTCCAAAACAAGTTAGGAGTTGAAAGAAAGTAGATCTTTTGCTTGATTAGTACGTTTAGGAATGTAGAAGGAACCATGGTCTATCATATCATAACGGGCTATATAAAGAGCTCTGAAATAGTTTTAGTAGGGTACCTTCACTTCTGTGCCAACGAATGCCCAGTTTGGTGAGAAATCAGCGATGGTGAAAAGCTGGTCATTGGAGAGGGAAGGAGTCATCAAATATGGGTCCAAGTGTGATTGAGACAGAAAACTGGAATTTTCAACTCCAGCTTCACTCTCTACACTTTGCCAGTATGTAGCAGAAGTGGATTGTCCAGGTGACTCATTTACTACATCTCCAAGTTCTTTACTCATCCAACGATTGAAGCTATCAAGTTTTTTCAGACTTTCTTCAGCCACATAACTATCCAACAAACGATCCTTCATGAAAGAACCACGGTGCGATTCTTTCTCAGGCATCACACTACAGTGTGCATCTGGCACCTGAAATTGAAGATAGATCATTGTCCATTGTACATAAAAGATACTAGGTCTCAGATAAACTCAAATGTTGAGAATGCCAGTTAAAAAACGAAAATCTGCCATCACTGAAGAAAAGAGAAGAACTTTACGAAAGATTTACGGTGCAGATTTTAAATGATGCAATACCTGCTGCCATTGTTCTTGGATTGCCACATGACTTGCAGAATCCTGCCTTTTACCAAAGCTACTTAAAATCAGGTTTCCCAGTAACATATCTCCTTGTTTGGGATTAATTGGTGCAGTATCAGCTGTTAGTGGAGATTGGAAGTCATTTGGCATGTGCTCAATTCCATAACTACTGTTTCCGAAGTCCCATGATGATAATTCAACTTGACTTTGCGATTCAAATTCTGATCCAGTACCATTAACATCTTTGAGTTCACCAGTTTGAGCATATGAGGAAACAACTGGCAGCTTCCCTGTATTACCATCTGCAAGACTTAGAATGCGATTAGATTAAAGTATGATGTTAACAAGTGGACGCATCAAAGGGAGCATAAGAAATAATTTACCCGAACAGGACACATTTAGGCATGAATTAGACTGTTGGCCCTCAAAAATAGCATGGAATCCAAAACTTGCCTGCTGGTTGTACACTGCATTCAGAGTTTGAAAGATTACAAAATTGGAAAAGTTAAGCAGGTAGCTGTATGAGTTAGTTGGGTGAATCAGGTCAGTCAACACATGGATATGTGTTTGGTTGGATCTTCCAGGCAGGAAACAAGTTGAAACAAACACACCCTTACAAGACTACCTGACTCTACATCCTCGTATTCTGAAGCTTTGCCACTGGCCATGTTTACTGTGTCTTCTGTTGTCTGTGTAGCCATTTGGTAACAGTAAGAGTGATAGTTGGATGAAACAGAAGTGTCCATCTCAGAATTCTGAGCAACTCCATCGTCTGTTTTCGGGGAATTTGAAATAGCCTCTGCGGTCTCTTTGACACGGTAGAAGCTCGCCCTACTATTCCCCTGCTGAACAAAATTTAAATGGAATCTCGGATGAGATATTTGACAAATGGCAGTGAAGCACGAGACTGTTATAAGATATATGCATAGCTCAGGTCAAAACTGACCCTTAAGTATCACAGACAAGAAAAGACTAATCAAGACAAAGAGTCAAGAGAGTAGATCAACCAACCGTTACTTCTCGATAGTGGACAAGAACTATGCGTGGTAGTTCCCTGCAACCAAAAGAATATGATTGACCCAATCGATTAAACCAAAATGTAGAAACACGGCTAAAGATGTATACGAGCAATATGAATTAACCATGCATGAGATGTCACCACTACTAGAACTTATGAGCTATGGGGCAGTTAACATCAACAAGAGATTGTAAGTACAAAAAAATAGAAATTCATCCAGGAAAAACTGTAAAAGTAAACCACTCCACAAAGGTAAATCAATCAGGAAAACTGATTAGCATGTGGTGCCTACTGTAAAGAGAAGGTACATCATCCTCTCGGCAGTAATTTTGTTGCCAATGACAAATTCAAGAACACTTAACTTAGTTAAGGATCCTTAAAGCAGCCACTCACACTTGGAATGCATCAATTTATATCCGAAATACAGTCAAGTAAACGTGAACATACTCTTCAAGCATCCAATATGTTCTTCTTTGAAAATTCTCATTTCCTTCTCCATGTGCATAATAGCAATGCAGCACATCAATGCTGCCAGACTGAAAGAAAACAATATAGTTACGGTGTTTAAATTCCATGATGTAGTGTCTGACTTAAAAGTATGTACCCCCAGGTTCAAAAAATTTGAGGGGAAAAAGACATATACCTTGAGCCTCTCATGAGCTTCTTTCTTCCTCCAGTTATGCCCATCTTTTCTGAAATATCTCATTACCTTGCGGTCAAACAGGAAAAGGGAACCACCTACAATTGAACCACAATAATGTGAAGTAGAGCCACTTCTGCTGTTTCCGTATAGAATGACCAAATCATTTAGCAAGTCTGGGAACTCATACTATTTCCTTGCACCAAGCAGTTTCACTTTGTTATACGGTCTTACTCCATAATTACGAGAATCGATTGAAACTAATGCTGGAAATCACTTCAATGGCAAGCAATCAGGAACCACAAAACAACAGAAAACTAATAGTGTCCCCAAATTCCTGTTTGACTTCATCCACCTAAGTCAAACCAGAAAATGACTTAACTCGCTTTACCTATTGGAAAGTAAGAACATTATCTGATTTTGATTTCAGAAATGCTTAAGCTAAAGACCATCTTGGACTTGTTGCTTACTTGTACTTATACTCCATCAAAATTTCTTACTTGGTGGCCTGTTTTGGGGCTCTTGGGCAATACGGAACTTTTCATGGTTGCTCAGAATTTCACAGATTTCTGCAGGCCGTAGCCACCGATGTTGCGCTTCCAGAAGTATTTGATGAATACTCTCATTCCACCCTGCAGATTACCACAGTTAACAACAAAATAATATCAACACAAAACGAGTGATTCCTGCGTAGTGGCAAGCAAAGCAAAACAAATACATTCAAGCTCAATCATCCCACATCAAAAGGGGAAACGCTTTCTGCTTCAGTATAGAAATCCACTGGGGTTGACTTGGAAGGGGAGAACGGAGAAGCAACAGCGAAGAACAGGGCGAAAAGCAAATACGAACTCCCCACTTCAAGAAATTTGCTTTCAGTTGAATCCGACTTTGAGAGTGAAAGCTTAGAAGCGAATATATTTATTTACCTTGATGGTCATCAGGTAGAGAGGCAGCCATGAATGAATTCTTTCCTTTTTCTGTAGTCACGCTGAATTCAACTTCATCTCAGTGAGAATAAGTTAGCTGTAAGAGCGTGAAGTCGAAAGCTTTTTATCTTTATCTGATGAAGGAACCCAAATTGAAATGGGGGAAAAGAACTAAGAGAAGGGGGGGGAAAGAAATCGATTGAGAGATATGGGAAGAAACTCTCAGCCGCCGAAATGGAAATTTTTCGAACAGAGGACAGTTAGCTGACGTCGGCCGGTCATCACTTTGGCCACGTCATATTTAGACCATCTCCAAAGAGAAAGGGAAGAAAGCTAGGACGTAGGAGTACGACGGAATGCAATGCACTCAAAAGCGCGATTTTATCTAAAAATGGAAAAGGGATAAAATCGTAAAGCGTAGAATCAAAGCGTAAAAGCGTAAGTTTTTTACGCATATTGTCAAATAACTAAAAATCTATTAAGTAGGACATATACTATGTAAAATATGAATGCACATAATTTAGATAAGTTAATAAATACATGCAATTCATGCCTAAAGTAGAGCAACTTATAGAATCTTAATAATAAGTTCATAAACATAAATTTTAACAATAAGCCACTTTTTCATCTATGCTAATGAATTCGAGAAGAGCCTAGCTGGTGAATTTATTACTCTATTGAAGTTGAGAATGCATCCAAGTACCTGGTATGTATCTTTTATCTCAAATGCATCATATTGTTGGTGATTTACTTGTAAAATATACATTTTATAATTAATTTCATGAAAAGAATACTCATTTAGTGAACTAAAAGCGTAAAAACGTAAAGCGTTTTGGTGAACTAGAAGCGTAAAAGCGTAAGCTTTTAAGTTTTAAAGCGCAATTTATTCCGATTAAATACACTTAAATTTTTATATGGAAACGAAAGCGTTTTGGTGAACTAAAAACGTAAAATCGTAAGTTTTTAAGTTTTAAAACGCGATTTTGACTGCATTAACTGTATGAGCTATGTTTGGTTTTTTGCTCACTAAAAAGAGTTTTGCTCCAAAAGAGAGCAAAAAGATCCAACTTTGCCTTTTGTGTTAATATCTATTAGTGCAAATTTTAGTACCTTAATTAGATTATTTTTCATTATTTTTATATAAGTAGTTTTAATTAATTAAGATTAATAGAGCTTTTAATTTTGACATAAAAAACTTTAACTTCAAATATAATGTTATCAAGGATAAAAATGCAATTTTAGGTTCAAATAGTCATTTATTCATCACATATTTGTCAGATTGAGTTTGTTATCAACTACTCATCCAACTTTTGTCAGATTGAGTTGTGTCATCAACTGATCATTCAACTCTAACCGGAAATGAGTTGTGTCATCAACTATTCATTCAACTTTAATAATAAATGAGTTGTGTTGTCAATTGTTCATTCAACTTTAATCATAAATGAGTTGTGCAATCAACTGTTCATTCAATCTTTCATCTTATTATTGTAGAAGGAATCATTTCGTTGTTCTATGAACCCTCAAACTTGAGAATTCTACTCATCCACCATTGAACCTTCTTTCTTGCAAAAACCATTCAACCTTGCATTCGTACATCTCTCTAGCCACCAAAACTCTTTTGTCTTTATGCCCTGTCAGCCCTGATAGAAAAGCTTATGAGAGGCAAAGAGAAGATGATGAAAGACAATGGGAGTATGTATGTCAACTTGAGTGTGAATGTATACAAATGTTCATGATGTACGCAAACCACCCTCACCGACACCAAGCAACTTCAACTGGTGGCAGTTCATCAACATGAAAATCAATGAGACGTAATAAGCAAGATGGTCACAAGCACTTGATGCAAGATTATTTCAACCCAAATCCAACCTATGACGCTAGGGCCTTCACAAGGCGGTATCGGATGCCCCCTGCCTTTTTCTACCGAGTCATGAATGATGTGGTTTAGTGACTCGCAGCTACTGTCACTCTAGAAAATGGCCAAGTGTAACCACCTCCTAAAACGTAGTATAGCGGGTTTGGGTTGTAATGTCAGCCCGGTCCTAAGTGTTATCAGTGCAGTCAAAATCACGCATTAAAACGTAAAAACTTACGTTTTTACGTATCCAGGCCACCAAAACATTTCAGTTTCTACCTAAAGTCGCTTAGTCACAAAAATTGGTAAAAACATGGGTAAAATCGATAAAATCGCGATTTTGAAGCATTTTTATATGATTTTGATCATCTAAAAAATGTGTTAATTGGCCCAAAATGATGTAATTTTGGAGACATATCAGCAAATAATAAAAGAAGGAAAATATGATTCATCACTCGTTCTACAACTAGTGTCGAGATAGGAGCTTCATATTAGGTTGAAAAGACACCTAATGGTATTCTCAACAGTCGCTGACCTTCTATCAGTCTTCTCCCTTAATCTTCACCTGTGGCTCTTATCTGGGTTACGATAAAAGTTTATGGGTAATTGATTGTATGTAATTATGTAAACTCAAACCAGCTTATGAGAATTTGGATTCTCAAGCTCGTTTACGGGTTACGATCTACGTTTATGAGCTTATTATTAAGATGTTATGAGTTTTCTTTACTTTTGAGTCAACACAAATTAGTTTATGCGTTAGATATTACATTTTAATTATGAATTTCATGTATTTATTCACTTATCTAAAATCTACACACTCACATTTTACATACTATATGTTGTACTTAACATATTTTAGCTATTTTAGAGGGTGCATAAAAAACTTACGCTTTTACGCTTTGATTCTACGTTTTACGATTTTACCCATTTTCCGCTTCTAGGTAGAATCGTACTTTTAACTGCATTGAGTGTGATGACTACTCTGTGAGTTCTTATTATTTAGCGATGACAGTGTAGTGAAGGTCCAAAACAAACAAACAAGCAAAGCAGTTAAGGGTTGTTTTCAAGTTGACAGAGGGCACCCGGATATGGTTCCCCCTAGACTGCAGTTAAGCCGGATTGTAATTTACCAAGTTCAGGTTCAATGATAGTTATACTGCGGGAGGTTCTTAAACAGTCTGAAGTCTCGACTAAAGGTCTCCAGACCCTCTCAATCTAAGTCTCCAGCGGGCGACTAACCTCCACCGGAGTAAACAGACTGAGGCCCTAACGAACCAAACATCCACTACCGAAGCGAATTCGCTACAGAATAGTGAATTGACTTCTCGACTAAAGTCGTCAATTCACTACCTTCAATCAAGGGTGCTCTATCAACCTAGGCAGATATTCTCTTTCTAGGTTAAAGCAGAAACAACAGGAATTTGATCAGGATTCATGCCATTCAACAAATCAAACCTCAATTGAATATAATCATACCACAGAATTTGTACTTGGGTTCATACAATCAGACCTAACATACAAATCTAGGGTTCTTCATACCCAGGTGATCAAGAAAACTACTCCATAGAGAGAGATGGGAAATCTAGCTTAGATGCGGAAACCATACTGTGAAGGATGATAATCTGCTTCTGGCACTCAATCAGGTTTTCTCCAAGCTCAAGCCGGGCTCCAATGGTGATGGAGATCGATCTATGACACTTGCAGGATCAATTTCATCTCTTTCTCTCTCTAGGTATCGCTCTGTCTCTCTAAAACCCGGAACCCTTCACTTTTGGCCTTCTTTTCCCTTAAGAAGCTGTCTGTCGCGATCCCCGGCCTGAATACCCGGTCGGGTATTTTAGGTGGAGACAGGGTATTCTCAAAAAGCATCGTCGAGGACAGGGGGTTAATCCCCGGTCAGGGTCAAGAATACCCAACCGGGGATTTATGATTAATGCCCGGGCCCCCTTCTGCTTCTCAAACGCCCAAAACAAGTTTTCCCCGGTCTGCTCCGATTAATACCCGGCCGAGTATTTCTGCCCATGGCCGGGTATTCTGCTCCTCCAGCACACTTCAACCCAAACGTGCTCCTTTCGACCTGAAACTCGTTTCTTCGCCTCGATGCCAACGCTAAGCCCTGAAATATGACATAAACGCACAACCTAGCGTGAAATCGGCTTAAAACATGAGAATCAACATCTCAAACGGCTCAAGAATAGGGGTAAAAACATGTGTAATCAATGGTCTACCATTTAGTATAATGTCTACATCAAGCAAGGGAAAGACGTTGTCGGTCGTGACTCTTTATCCTCACACCAAAAGCTTACTAGTCCTTTCTGCATGCTTGCATTGGACCAGACTTTTTGGATGAGTCATGTCGAATGGGTGAGAGCACCATACTGGAGTGTCTAAGGAAATTTTCCATCGCACTTGACAGGGGCAGATCTAAGGGTAGGGGTGTGCAATGGTCCGGTCCGTACCACACCAGACCAAACCGACATTTGGAACAGATCGTACTGAACAGAGTATAATGCGGTCTGGTCGTTGGGTCCTATGAATTTTATATTTACTGGAGAAAACATGAACTGAAATGATATTTGAATCGGACCAAACTGGACCAAATGTAATGATAGTTCGATCCTTGGTCCAAAGATATCTTTCACTAATGGACCAAGGTTCTCATGACTTTATTCTGATCTGAACCGTTGCACACCCCTACCCAGAAGCGTGTTTGATGTAAATAATAGTAGAAGGGCAGGTTTGATAAAACGACATAGTAGAGGGGTATATTATGTGAATACTGTGATGACTTGATTATTATTGGATGTGAGAGTGGTATTTAATACCAACTCTAGAACACAAAGGAGCTACAAACTAGCTAACCACCTGACCACTACGTACATGACAGAAGCCACTAACAATAATAATTAACAAAAATAATTAATTGTAAATGGTATCCCTAACACGCCCCCACAAGATGGAGAAGGGAACGACGCCAATCTTGGATCGAAGGAGTTGAAAGCAAGTGATGGGCAGAGGTTTCATCAAGGAATCGACAAGTTGATGGACTGTGGGAATGTGGCAGACATGTAGAGCTGCCGATTGAACAAGATCTCGTACAAATAGATAATCAAGAGCCAAGTGCTTCATCCTGGAATGATGAATGGGATTGGCCGAGAAGTTGACAGCGCCGAGGTTGTCGCAGTAGAGTACTAGTGGAGTGGAGACTGGTTGGTGGAGCTCGGCAAGCAGATTTTGAATCCATAAGATTTCAGAGGTGGCATGGGCTAGTGCACGATACTCGGCCTCTGTGCTGGAGCGAGCGACCGAGCGTTGCTTCTTGGATTTCCAAGTGACAAGATTACCACCATAGTAGACAAGATAAGCCATGGTCTAGGTACGATCATCGGGATCCCTAGCCCAGTCAGAATCGGCGAAGGCAACAAGGGAGGGAGATGGAGCCGCATAAAGGTGGAGACCAAGAGAGGCAGTACCACGAAGATAGCGGAGCAAACGCTTGACATGTTGCCAGTGAAGCTGAGTAGGTACATGCATGAACTAGGATAGTTTATTGACCGCAAAGGCGATGTCAGGGCGAGTGCATAATAGATATTGTAGGGAACCAAGCACCTATTTGTAGAGTGTCACATCGGTTGGTGGAGATCCATCAACAAGAGTGAGCTTGGCTGAGGAAGATAACGGAGTCGGTGCCGGATGAGAATCAGCCATGTTGAAGCGGTGGAGAATATCCATGACATATTTGTGTTGGGACAATAAGTAGCCATGAGAGTGAGGAAGAACCTCGATACCCAGAAAGTAATTAACTTGGCCGAGACTCTTGAGTGAAAATCGATCAGCCAAGCGTTCTTGAAAGCGGGCGAGGGAAGGGCCATGATTACTGGTGAGGAGAAGGTCGTCAACATAGACCAAAAAGTACATAGTGACGTCCGCCTTGTGATAGACAAATAAGGATGCGTCGGACTTGGATTTCACGAATCCTTCATGCTCAAGAAAACCAGATAAAGAGAGATACCAAGATCGGGGCACCTGATGGAGCCCGTAGATGGCAAGAGATAAGCAACACACATAATCTGGATGATGAGAATCGCGGAAACCCAGTGGTTGTGTCATGTATATTGTTTCATCGAGAGACCCCTGCAAAAATGCATTATTAACATCGAACTGAAGAATTGGCCATTGATGAGATTGGGCGATCGTGAACACTGTGCGAATTGTGACCGGCTTGAGCACTTGGTTATAGGTGTCATGGAAGTCAATGCCCAGGCGTTGTGTGTAGCCCTTGGCAACGAGGCGGGCTTTGAAGCAATCAATGGTGCCATCGGGCTTCCATTTGATCCGGAATATCCAGCGACAATCCACAATGTTGTGAGAGAGTGAACAAGGGACTAGAGTCCAGGTGTGATTGGAGAGAAGAGCCCGAAATTCGGCCCACATAGCTGCAGTCCAGCGTGGATCTTGAAGTGCCTGTTTCACCGTAGTGGGCTCAAGAGGATGTGAGACCTGCGAAAGAAACAAACGTTTTGGACGAAAAATCCCATGTTGACTCCGAGTCGTGGGACGGTGAGGAGTTTTGGCAGGCGGCGATGGCGGCTGATTTCCAAGTGTGGAGGAGGTAGTAGGGGGCGCAACAGGTGAAGAGGTCGGATGGCGAGGTGACGTTGGGGTCGGCAGCGGTGGAGCCGACGGTGGGCTGGGCGAGGAATGACTCACGGGCAGGGGCAGCACCATTACCGAGGGAGTGGCAAAGGCAAGCCAGGCCGGGGACTCATATGTAGCAGGGGTGGGAGTGGGAATGCCGGGAAGTAGAGATTCTTCAAACTGAACATGACAAGATACATATATGCGGGTGGAGTTGGGTACGTAGCAGAGGTAGGCACTTTGGGAGGGTGAGTAGCCAAGAAAGAGACAACGACGAGATCGTGGGGTAAGTTTATTTTCAGAATATGGACGGAGCCATGGGTAGCAGACACAACCAAACACTCGTAGTTTAAGATAATTAGGTAGTTCGTTGAACAAGGAAAAATATGGAGTGTGGCCATGAAGGGTGGTGGAGGGAAGGCAATTGTAACATCCCGTTCCGGCAAAACCCATATTTCGATCGTTAGAAAGTTCGGGATTTAAAATCGAGCATGTCGACACTTTTTCGGCAAAAATCGGATTATCGATCGATCGGATAAGTATACGTATTAATTATATATATATATATATAAAATTAGTAGGCGGCCAAAACCACTTTCCATTTATTTATATATCTACGTACTAATCCATCACTTTCCCTATTCCTTTTCTAAACGCTCGGACCAAAATTATTGAGAAGCAGAGAGCGAACAGAGGAGTTCAGGGCAGGGACGAGGAAAAGTCTCAGTGTTTGATTCTCCAATTCTAGTGATCCAAAAATCCCGTAAGTAATGCCTAATTCATCTATACATCGTAATTTATCGATTTAGAGCTTTAAAACGAGTTTTTGGTTCAGGAATTTCTTGAATTCCCGATCTGCCAAATTAGGGTTTCGGAGTATCCGGAAGCCGGATTGAGCCCAAATTTCATATACGAGCTTCCTGCAGCGAGGTAATCAATCCTCTAGTTCTAATCTCTGAATTTCGGCAATTATTTAGGCCGGGGTCCAAACCGCTGAATTTAGCTCCGGCCAGGGTTTGATGTGTTTTTATCGAGAATTTGACCCGGAGCCTAGAACTAATATTGACGGGGATACTGCAGGGGATATTAGGACGGTCTCGGATTTTAATTCGGGGTTCGTTCGTGAAATTGACGTTTTAGTACGGGAGGCTAGAACCGGTGTTTGAACGACCAGAACTGGTGAGGGATTAGCACGGCATACCGGGTTTGTCGTATCACGATAATTATATTGATGCTTAGAATTGATCTAGGTGAACTAGAATGGCATGATTAGGGGTGTATGAACTTTTGTGCTATATGTTGAACCCTGGATTGCTGTATGATATTATTGACTTCCCCTAATCGATATGAACCTTGTTTATGCTGATGATGGTGTATATGTTGCAAATTGTGGACTTGACTGTTGATATGCCTTATGATGGTTCGGAAAGGTGACTGGGTATGATTTTTCATTATTGTTGTATTTGGATGCACAAGTGGGAAAATATATATTTTCCCTGGTGATATTATGATGTTTTAAGGAGGATGACTTGCACGAGGGTTTATCCCGAGGAAGTGCAATTATACGACTCCTGGTTATGTTGAGCCAATTGTGGCCAGGTCAAGAACATGTCCAAGAAATGAATTATGATTAAGCAAGATGAGATATGAATCATGTATAAGGATACCAAATATGAGGGTTGTGGTCTCACGGTCAACTACATAGTAATTAGGGCTCCCTATGCTATTACTCTATTATGATATGTATGATAGTCACACCTCTCATTTGGTGGTGACTGAAGAATTCTTACGAGATATGACCACACCCAGAGCGATGTCGGGGTATGACTACACCCATAGTGGTGTGGGGTATGATTGACCACATCCGACGGGATGTTGGGGTATGTATGACTACATCCGACGGGATGTGGGGTATGTTTCCCGGGAGAGTTATTAGCATGGGAGTAGCCAGGCGCCTATAAGTAAAACATGATAAGATGCATATGCATAAGTCAAGGTGGTTGAGTCTTTTGCCTATTGGGATGTCGGAGGGCTGAGATCTGATCCTAGTGCTTTGGCTTGTTTGCTAGATGTATGGTAGTGGTATGCTATGTTATGAACTCACGATGCTATGATTATCTCACTCAGCTATGAGCTGACCCTCTTTTATTCTTCTTCTCTGCTTATGCTATGTGTAAGCAGATCATCAGCAGCAGCAGTAGATAAGTGTTAGGTGGGAGAGGAGCTAGAGTTGAAGCCAGGATGAGGTATGGTCTTCAACTATTCTGTGCTTGGACTACTACTTGGGATTTTGGCCAGTGATCCACACCTTTTTGTAAAAATGTTTTGAGAACATTTTCATGTGCATACTAGCTTCGAATGTAGTGTGAGATATCCACAGGTGTGGAAAGTTAATGATATGTGTATATGTTGTGTAACTGTGTAAGTTGTGACGATTATGGTATGTATAAGTATGGTATGCAGTTAGGAAGTATGAAAAGTGTGACTATGGCTAAGAAAAGCCAATGCATATGGTTGTGAGTATATAGGTTTGTGATGAATTATTTTGCAGGTTAAGTTGCAAGAACTGTTAGCCCATTACGCGAGTAATTCATGTCGAAATTTTATTTAGGTAAATTTTGATAATTATTGTAACACCCGAGATTAATTCCGCTGCAGTTGTATGAACAGTATGATTAGGCAAAACATATAGGGTAGGGTGTTACAGCAATTGATGAGATAGGTGGCGGTTTTGAAGGCGTGAGACCAAAACGGGAGAGGAAGATGGGCAGTGTGTAAGAGGGTGAGACCAGTTTCAACTATATGCCTATGTTTGCGTTCGGCAAGACCGTTGTGTTGTGGAGTGTGAGGAGGAGTGAGAAGGTGGGTTATGTCGTGGGTTTGAAGAAAGGAGCAACGTTTTTGAATCTCACCACCTCCATCACTGTAAATGCGACGAATAGTGGTGTGAAAAAAAATTCTCAATCATTGCTTTGTATGTGGTGAAAACAGTGTGAACATCATATTTACGGGAAAGTGGATAAAGCCATGTATAACGTGTGAAATGGTCAACAATGACTAGATAATACGAAAAATTATCATGAGAAATAACGGGCGAAGGACCTCAAACGTCCATGTATAACAAATCAAATGGTCTAGTGCTCGATAGGCTTGAAACAAAAAAGGGCAGTTTGTGGCTTTTATGAAGATAACAAGATTCACACGATGAAGTAGATAAAGTGGAGGTGACAGGAAGAGATTGTTTACTAATAACACGAGACAGAAGCTTAATATGGGGATGACCCAAACGATTGTGCCATAGCGTAGGTGATGCACGTGTCGCAGTCAACGCTAGCCGGAGGGGAGGAGTGTCCTCCGGCAGCTCATAGACATCGCCTTCACAGGGTTAATTTTGCATAATTGAGCAACGGAGAGCAGGCGACGTTCGATAGCCGGAACACAAAGCACATTTGTAAGAGCCAGACGCGACGTAGGAGAAGATAAGTGAGTGGTGCCAACATGGGAAATAACCAGACCTATCCCATCACCAATAATAACCTCATCGGGGCCAGCATAATCGAAATAGAGAGAGAGACCATCGAGATCCGACATCATATGATTTGTGGCCGCAGAATCCACCAACCAACCATCATTAGAAGAGGCCACAACAGTTGTTGATGGGCTTGAGGACGACCGCGAATGCGGTAGCAATCCTTGGCAGAATGACCCGGTTTGTCGCAGTATTGACAGAGGAGCTGGGGTCGGCCAAGTAGAGACGGGTGCTGGCGGACTGGCGGAGTAGCCAGGATAAGGCCGAGGAGAGCGGGGACTCGGCGTCCGACAATAGGAGTTATCATAGCCATAGGAGATGGGCGTGAGCGAGCCGCGGCGAGACTGTCCAGGAGTACGGGAATGAGAGTACGGGCGAGGAGATCGCCCCTAGCCGAGGAAAAGTATGTGGTAGGAGCAGCGGAGATACGGACAACAGCTAAATCCGCCTTAAAATCAACAAGGCGATCATGTAAATCTTCAATCTGAATAGTGGTGTCCCGAGCAACGATGGCGGCAACGAGCTGTCCAAATTTTTCATGCAGGCCGCGAAGAATATGGAGAATTAGGTCTTCGTCACTAACCGGAGCGTTGACGAGGGCGAGCTCCGCAACGGTAGTGCGCATAGCCTGAAGGTAGACTGAGACTAGGCGATTTCCTTGAGTCTCACGAAGAAGTTTCCCCTTAAGATTAATGACACGTTGACGTGACTGACTGGCAAACATGCGCTCAAGGATAGTCCAGGCCTGACGAGCAGTGGCCGCAGCAGAGACATAAGGTGCGACGCCTGGAGAAACAGAAGCAAGGATAGCATGAAGAATGAGTTGGTCTTGCCGTACCCATTGAGTGCGAACGGCAGTAACAGCTGTGGCGACAGGTTCAGGATGCGAGCAGTCGATGAATTTTAGCAGATCGAGACCGCGGAGGAGAGTAAAGAGCTGGGCGCGCCATGTCAGAAAATTATCGCCGAAGAGCTTGGCAGGGAGTTGGGCAGCTAGGTTGAGCGTGACGATTGTATTGGTGTCGTCAAGGTTGATCACGGTTTCACCTGAATTAATGTTGGCAACCATGATGGCGAGAAAAGGGAACAGGGAAGAGAAGATGAGGAAAATGAATTGGAGAGAAGGGCACAAGTGTCGTATGCTGCTGGAGATTTGGAGAGAAGAAGCAGATTAGAGGAAATAGAAGAAAGAAGTTTGGGCGAGAATTTGGAAGATTCTAGGGTTAAGGAGATCAGAACCGATGCTCTGATACCATGTGAATACTATGATGACTTGATTATTATTGAATGTGAGAGTGGTATTTAATACCAACACTAGAACAGAAAGGAGCTACAAACTAGCTAACCACCTGACCACTACGTACATGACAGAAGACACCGACAATAATAATTCACAGAAATAATTAATGGTAAATGATATTCCTAACATATTATTAGGGATGGCAACGGGTCGGGTTGGGTCGGGTTTTGCCAAACCCAAATCCATGGGTTTATCCGTGAAAAAAACCCGGGGTAAAACCCACTAGCTTCGAATGTAGTGTGAGATATCCACAGGTGTGGAAAGTTAATGATATGTGTATATGTTGTGTAACTGTGTAAGTTGTGACGATTATGGTATGTATAAGTATGGTATGCAGTTAGGAAGTATGAAAAGTGTGACTATGGCTAAGAAAAGCCAATGCATATGGTTGTGAGTATATAGGTTTGTGATGAATTATTTTGCAGGTTAAGTTGCAAGAACTGTTAGCCCATTACGCGAGTAATTCATGTCGAAATTTTATTTAGGTAAATTTTGATAATTATTGTAACACCCGAGATTAATTCCGCTGCAGTTGTATGAACAGTATGATTAGGCAAAACATATAGGGTAGGGTGTTACAGCAATTGATGAGATAGGTGGCGGTTTTGAAGGCGTGAGACCAAAACGGGAGAGGAAGATGGGCAGTGTGTAAGAGGGTGAGACCAGTTTCAACTATATGCCTATGTTTGCGTTCGGCAAGACCGTTGTGTTGTGGAGTGTGAGGAGGAGTGAGAAGGTGGGTTATGTCGTGGGTTTGAAGAAAGGAGCAACGTTTTTGAATCTCACCACCTCCATCACTGTAAATGCGACGAATAGTGGTGTGAAAAAAAATTCTCAATCATTGCTTTGTATGTGGTGAAAACAGTGTGAACATCATATTTACGGGAAAGTGGATAAAGCCATGTATAACGTGTGAAATGGTCAACAATGACTAGATAATACGAAAAATTATCATGAGAAATAACGGGCGAAGGACCTCAAACGTCCATGTATAACAAATCAAATGGTCTAGTGCTCGATAGGCTTGAAACAAAAAAGGGCAGTTTGTGGCTTTTATGAAGATAACAAGATTCACACGATGAAGTAGATAAAGTGGAGGTGACAGGAAGAGATTGTTTACTAATAACACGAGACAGAAGCTTAATATGGGGATGACCCAAACGATTGTGCCATAGCGTAGGTGATGCACGTGTCGCAGTCAACGCTAGCCGGAGGGGAGGAGTGTCCTCCGGCAGCTCATAGACATCGCCTTCACAGGGTTAATTTTGCATAATTGAGCAACGGAGAGCAGGCGACGTTCGATAGCCGGAACACAAAGCACATTTGTAAGAGCCAGACGCGACGTAGGAGAAGATAAGTGAGTGGTGCCAACATGGGAAATAACCAGACCTATCCCATCACCAATAATAACCTCATCGGGGCCAGCATAATCGAAATAGAGAGAGAGACCATCGAGATCCGACATCATATGATTTGTGGCCGCAGAATCCACCAACCAACCATCATTAGAAGAGGCCACAACAGTTGTTGATGGGCTTGAGGACGACCGCGAATGCGGTAGCAATCCTTGGCAGAATGACCCGGTTTGTCGCAGTATTGACAGAGGAGCTGGGGTCGGCCAAGTAGAGACGGGTGCTGGCGGACTGGCGGAGTAGCCAGGATAAGGCCGAGGAGAGCGGGGACTCGGCGTCCGACAATAGGAGTTATCATAGCCATAGGAGATGGGCGTGAGCGAGCCGCGGCGAGACTGTCCAGGAGTACGGGAATGAGAGTACGGGCGAGGAGATCGCCCCTAGCCGAGGAAAAGTATGTGGTAGGAGCAGCGGAGATACGGACAACAGCTAAATCCGCCTTAAAATCAACAAGGCGATCATGTAAATCTTCAATCTGAATAGTGGTGTCCCGAGCAACGATGGCGGCAACGAGCTGTCCAAATTTTTCATGCAGGCCGCGAAGAATATGGAGAATTAGGTCTTCGTCACTAACCGGAGCGTTGACGAGGGCGAGCTCCGCAACGGTAGTGCGCATAGCCTGAAGGTAGACTGAGACTAGGCGATTTCCTTGAGTCTCACGAAGAAGTTTCCCCTTAAGATTAATGACACGTTGACGTGACTGACTGGCAAACATGCGCTCAAGGATAGTCCAGGCCTGACGAGCAGTGGCCGCAGCAGAGACATAAGGTGCGACGCCTGGAGAAACAGAAGCAAGGATAGCATGAAGAATGAGTTGGTCTTGCCGTACCCATTGAGTGCGAACGGCAGTAACAGCTGTGGCGACAGGTTCAGGATGCGAGCAGTCGATGAATTTTAGCAGATCGAGACCGCGGAGGAGAGTAAAGAGCTGGGCGCGCCATGTCAGAAAATTATCGCCGAAGAGCTTGGCAGGGAGTTGGGCAGCTAGGTTGAGCGTGACGATTGTATTGGTGTCGTCAAGGTTGATCACGGTTTCACCTGAATTAATGTTGGCAACCATGATGGCGAGAAAAGGGAACAGGGAAGAGAAGATGAGGAAAATGAATTGGAGAGAAGGGCACAAGTGTCGTATGCTGCTGGAGATTTGGAGAGAAGAAGCAGATTAGAGGAAATAGAAGAAAGAAGTTTGGGCGAGAATTTGGAAGATTCTAGGGTTAAGGAGATCAGAACCGATGCTCTGATACCATGTGAATACTATGATGACTTGATTATTATTGAATGTGAGAGTGGTATTTAATACCAACACTAGAACAGAAAGGAGCTACAAACTAGCTAACCACCTGACCACTACGTACATGACAGAAGACACCGACAATAATAATTCACAGAAATAATTAATGGTAAATGATATTCCTAACATATTATTAGGGATGGCAACGGGTCGGGTTGGGTCGGGTTTTGCCAAACCCAAATCCATGGGTTTATCCGTGAAAAAAACCCGGGGTAAAACCCACTGGGTTTGAAAAACTCATACCCAACCCAACCCGCTGGATATCCATGGGTTCATGGGTACCCACGGGTTTTTGTCGTAAAAAATTTACAATAACAAGTTCCTATCAAAATTAAAGTCAAATATCAATCTCTCAATACAAATTATCCATATATAAAACATCATTCTAGAAAATTCAAGCAAATCACAAATTAACTATACAAATTGTTCAACACTAATCTAGAAAACTCAAGAAAATTGAAGCAAATCACAAATTATCCATAAATAACATGATTAACTGAAAGATTCTTCCTTTCAATTAAGTTTCTTCACTCTCCACTCGATAATATAAACTTCATTCTACACAATTTTAAAGAAAAAATTAGACATGTCTCCACAAACATAAATAAGATTATTGTTTAGAATATTAAATATACCGAGAAAATTAACTATATAGGTGTGAGCGGGTACCCATGGGTCGGGTTTACCTAAACCCAAACCCAACCCAACCCGATGAATAGTGAACGGGTTTAAACCCAAACCCGATCCAAAACCCGTCAACACGGATTTTACCCGCGTTGACCGGGTTGGGTCGGGTGGGTACCCGTGGGTTCGGGTTTTGTTGCCATCCCTACATATTATACCTATAATCCAAATTTTTAAAAAAATGTGACTCAATGAAAACTTATCTTTACAATCGTTACCGAGTCATAAATAGTAAAATAGACCGTTATTTGTCAATAGGTATAACCTTTACTAGGTTTGCACAGTTAAGGAGATCGACGTTTCCCCCCTTCATCTATATCATCGAATCCCCACTTTCTCTCTCCCTATCTTCCACCAACGGCTTTTTGTAGCGATTCACGCCACTTCTCTTTCGCCCTCTCTCCCTCTCTTCCGTGCTCTATATAATGGAAACCTGCAGTGGAGTCGTTTCGTTAATGTAGGAGTCCAATCCAAGCAACTACTTCAATTCCCGTGAAAGGAAAAAGGGGGGAAACGTCGGACAATTGTTTTGCAGCACAGGGTTTTTCCTTCGTTTTGTTGTGGTGGACAGAATTGGTGTGGTTTAGGCGGGGATTTTGACCACCCAGATGCAGCAGATTGTTAGTCGATTCTGTTTGCTGCTGGTTATATGCTCTGTTGTTGAGTTCCACGAGAGGATTCTGCGTCTCTTTCTGGGGGTTTTCCTGATGGAATGCGCCGCCTGCCTCAAGTTTTTGACTCTGATCAGCGATTTCCGTGATGGGTTCATTGTGTTTGGTTGTTTCTCTCCGTCTTTCAATTTCCTGTGGCTTTTTTTGCTTTTCGCCTTTGGGTTGAAGCTGCTCCGGGTCACTTTCTTCGGGATTGGTCTGCTTCAGTTGTTTCTGTCTGATGTTAGAGTCAAGTCAATTGATCCCAGAAATGGGTTTTCTTATAGAAAAGGTTTCGATTTAGCATTCCACTCCAAGGTCGCCTCTTTCAGGACCGGTCCCGCGAATTGCTTGGCGATTGAGGATTCAAACGATTCCGGCTCGGTGAAAGAGGTTGTGAATTCGAGGAAAATCGATTATGTAGAGGAAGATGAGAGGACGGAATGTTTTGCTGAAGAAGACGATGAATTTGACGTGTTGGCATTGAGGAGATTGGTTAGGAATGAGAGGCGGAGAGCTGTGGCGGCTCAATTGGAGCTGGAGAAGGAAAGAATGGCTGCAGCATCTGCTGCTGATGAAGCAATGGCTATGATTCTAAGGCTTCAGAACGAGAAAAGCTCCTCAGAGATGGACGCCAAGCAGTACCGCAGAGTGGCGGAACAAAAGCAGGAGTACGATCGAGAAGTGATCCAGTCCCTCCAATGGATCATCATGAAACATGAATACGAAAGGAGCTTGCTGGAAGAGAAGCTCAAGTTATGCAGGCAACAGCTGCAGCGCTGCTTGAGGAGAGATGAAATGGAGGAACTTGACGCGGCTCTCATCTCATTAGGTTCAACCTCTGATTGTGGTTTGGATGAGGAGGATGAATTGAAGATGGGTTTTGCATCTCCTGCAGCTTGTGTTCAGACAAAAGTTTTTCAAGACGGTTTATGGACAGAATGATGGTGAGAGCGAAGCAGCAGCATGCATAACAAACAGTTCATGGACTGGGGAATGGAGCATTCTTGAATCCAGCTCCTCCACCATGGTCCCCACTCAGACAAGTATTCGCAGTAATATCTTCTATACTCATTATTTTCTATCTACTTTTCCTCTTTTGTACATCCACGAGACTCATAGTCCATTCTACTGCCTAGTTATTTGAACTGCCTGAGAACAGCTGAACCAGTTTGTTTGATCGATCCCCTACAGTGGGAATTCAATTCAGCATTTGCACCTTGTCTTTCTTCTCTTCTTGTAAAGTTACATATCCCAATTTCATAGCTTGAAGTCCTCTTTGACAATTTTAGGTTGAACTGAGTGAGTGAGTTCTTTCATTACATACAAGCATGTGGAGGCACAAACAAACTTTGCTGGGTTAGATGGAACAGTCACTCTGATCTCTCCAGTTATCCCTTCTGGAAGAAACTTTCTTGATTTCATTTTTGTTCACTTGGGCCTTTTTGTCCTTGAGTGCTGAGTTGCACGTGTTTCTTTTCGTTTGATGTCCAGTGTAATGTCAACTGCAACAACACAAACCAATCTCAATCAATCAATCAATGTGTATAATTTCCATTTTGATCTGCTAACTAAGAGGATGATATTCATTTCAATATCATCACTTGTTGACTGTTCTTTGATCTTTCTGCTTGGATCTTAGCAAGGAGATCCGGTTTTTCTTTATGGAAACTTGTGTCATTGGAACTCTGGAATTGATGGAATTTCTTTCAAGGTTGTCAACTGTGCTGGAATAGCTACTAAATTTTCCCGCAATCCTTTGCATGAAGAACCCTAATTTCGGCCCTTTTAGAAGGGAGATATCCATGTGCAAGAACATTATGGACTGAGGCTGAGTGAGGCAGCACTTCACGTGGCGATCTTTTAGCTTTTCATTCTTTACTAACTAGGACGATGGCTCAATTGGTTTTGGGAGCATGATGAAAGTGGGTATTCATAAGAAACCGCTAAAAACAAATTTTTGGGAATTGTCAAAAAGGGGGCCATTAGATGAAAACGAGAGTGAAAATTATTAGATACCATAAATTTATATTCAAATTCAATAAGCAAAGTATGTATTCTTTTAAATTTATAATGCCACAAATCCATCATAAATCAAATTTCGAAAATTCAAATGTTATCAAAACCTTCATTTTCAACATCCAGGGTCCTTTGTAAATTCCAAGTTTTTCTTGTTTGCTTAATGTGTGTCAAATCTGTGAATTATCCAAATTTGTGGGTCTCGTGGACTTGTAAATATCACACTCCCCCTTGGAGACTCGGTTGACTCCTTTGGCTACAGTATGTGGGTCTTCTAGGACTGTCGTCATCCTTCAAAGTGGCGAGTGGTGTAAGAGAACCTAGGGTTAGCTCCTCCTTTAGCGGATCATTGGCTGGTGGAAGGAACCTCTCCACATATCGGTTCCACAGCTTGAACACTCTCGACCGACTAAGCAACCGACGTGCAAGGTCACAATTTTCGTGGAGGGCGCAAGATTTTCCTCCACATGTTCCAGCTTTTGTTTGAGAAGTTCAATAATTTTATAGTGACAACTCATCGAATCTCATTACGGTTCTGATGCGGTGCCAAAACCAAGCTTTCATACCAACTTTTAAGTAGATGTGCAGTTTGGGGCGGATTTCTACATGTTATATCTTTGATCTATTGATTCCGGGATAGATTTCTTGAAACTCTTGAGCAAGGGATCTTTTTAATGGCTAGAACAACCCCGAAATAACTATGAGAACTACTAAGCTAAACGAAAGAATAAACAAAGCAAACATAGATTGAGTTTCAATTTTCTCATATTATTATTCATAGACAAGACCTCTATTTATAGATTTACAGAACCCTTCTTCTCATCCTAGACGTATGCTTCTCTCCTTATCATTTCCTACTCGAATTATTTTCCTTTCTTTACAAAAAAAAAATATTAATTAAATACTAACATAATTACTACTAATCTTATAACTTATTCCAACTAGAACAAATATAATAATTAACTAGTCACGGGCCCGGCCAATTGGCCGAATTTAGTTGTCAATCACGTAAATAACAATATTAATATGTATTTGAGTTATGAATTAGTATAAGAATATCTAATTTCTTCAAACACTCTAAACTTTCAAATCGATTGGGAGAATAAGAGAATCCAAATTATTAAAATAGTTCAACAATTCAAAATGATCAACATCATACTGTTTTCGGACATTTTAACGACTAATTGACTAAAATCATTTTACGAAAATGAAATAAAAATCCCATGCTAAGGAACCGACTCCTAAAGACAAATTAAAATGACCCTTCTAATACTCCTCGTCGTTAGAGATTACAACACATTTTCTTTTTGAATTTTTTGCATTTCCTCTGACATGTGCAACAACCTCATTGTCACCATTAATAATGTATTCATCTCTATCAGCGATAATTTTATCTCCACTATCAATTGACTCTTCCTTCTTCTCTTACATTTCAGTTATCTCTTCATTGTTTTCCTGCATTTCATTGAGCACAAAAAATTTGATGGTAAAATATTTTTGGAAATGCAAATCATCTCTTTATAAATTTCTCATGAACAATGTCTTTCTACTTCTGAATATCATCATCATTTGTAGGACCAGATCTATTACGTCTACAATTAGTAGTGTCAATCTTGTTCCTCTAAAATTCGAGCTCCCACTCTATCTATGACAACAGAGCCAACCTTTCCTATTTTGTCCGCAGCTCGAAGGTTAATCTTGAATCTGTATAATGATGGTAATAACATAAAAGCAATAAAAATGTTGAACTACATGTCATTTTTTAGGTTGTAAATATAAAATCTCAATATTATTCAATAAATAATACAAAAATAGTCTCACAAGGTAGACAGGTGGGCAGAAGAAAAACATAGCCCCATATCCATTTTTTAATCCAAGACATCAATCTCCTGAAATCTCTTTATTTGAACCATATTAATTTAATAATTTAATATGTATGTAAGCTTTCCACTGGCATCAGTACCATGCATTGCTAATTATTATGGGAAACATTCTTTTTTATGCATTTGTAGTACAATCTTTGAATTCTAAAAAAAGACTATATGAAATATGTTTTGTGAATTTAACTATACAATCACTTGGCATGTATATTCATCAACGAACTATATCAAATAAACTTTCATGTTAATAATGCTTGCATTACCTTGATGTTGTCGTTTTTAATTTTGTTGTACAATTTCTACAAAAATACTGGTCAGAGTCTTCTTCTAGCATCCAACATAGAACCACCATTCTTAACATTGACAACTTTGTATTTGACGGAATTTATATTACATATTACGGAAACTGTTAATATTTGATAGCTAATGTGTTGTTAAATCGAAATTGATGCTTACCTCTTCCAAAACTTTCATTTTTAATTGATTGAGCTCATTTAGTGTTTTGGTTGAGATTGGTTGTTGAGGTTCTCCTGTGCTTTTCATCAGAGGAATTAGTGCATCATCGTCACTTTATTCACTAAAAAAGAATGTTAATTAATTTGTATTTGTTATTTGAAGTTCAAACTTATAACACATAAACAAATAAGAAGATTAAATTATTGTGAATTTCACCTTTGCCCAAAATTAATGACTTCGTGAATTCCTGGATTCGCCAACAGCAAGGTCGCTCTAGTTGAGCAAAAGGTGTTCTCGTCTGCAAATTTGATGATCTTTGAAGTCATCTTCATTAATTTATTAATTTTATATTTATTTACTTCATTTAGTCTTCAAAGATTCTATTAATAATTTTTAATATGTTTTTTTTATATTATCTTCATATTTCTTCTGGTTTGTGGCTAGGACATGCACGTAATTTGCTGGATTAGGGATGAATTTGGAGGAATTTGGAGGAAAGTGGGTGACCGGATATTTTTTGGTGAAAGAGATGTGACAATATTAGTAACATCAGCATTATAAATAACTATTAGTATATGACATAGAAGTCATGCCCGTTGCATTCGTATTTTACTTAAATATGAATATGAATTGTCCGGTAAATTGTCTTGAAATACATTTTATATATGGTTAAATTCAGTTTGATGCTAATAGGTTTTTACATTAATATGTATTTTATTAAACTGTCTTGAACCAACATAAACCAGTTGTACCACCGGTCGAACTATTTCACTTAGGGGTCGTTTGGATGGATCATTTGTGAATATGGTATTTGTAAAGTGAAACAACTCATTTATTGTTAATGTGGTATTTTTGTGGTATTTTTATGAAAGATGAGATAAATAATCTTGTTTGGCTAAACCAATATTTGAATGTGGTATTTGATGGTAAAAACCAATATTGCCCTCTTCACCATCTTCTCTCCTTCATTCCCAGAAACATGTCCCTACCCAATTGCATGCCCCAAATTTGTTCATCCATGGTTGCTGCAAAATTAAATCTGACAAGAGCAAAACATAAAACAAGTCTATGCATCACCCACCGCCACTGAATTGATTTCCTAATTGTTGTCAATTTCCCCCCAAAAGCCAACACCCATCGGAAACAATAATCAACTCGACATTTCCAAATACATGCAGAGGCAAAATTAGCAAGAAGAACAGGGGTGGAGGATAGCATCAATGTAGTCAAAATCGCGCTTTAAAACTTAAAAACTTGCGATTTTATGTTTCTAGGTCACTAAAACGCTTCTACACAGAATCTCAGTTTTTATAACTTATATAGTTAAAAACTCCGCTTTAAAACTTAGAAACTTACGATTTTACGCTTCTAGATCATCAAAACGTTTCTACATAAAAACTCGCTTTTGACTACATTGAATAGTCATAGAGGGAGAACAGTAGGGGATTGAAGAAATCCGGCGACAGTCGTCATAATTCCTGGCCGGTCTTTAAATCCGAAAACTAATTCCTCTCTCCTATCTCGTTTCTGTGTCGTCGTCGTCTCTATCCATGTCGTCCTTGCCACCGTCAATGAAGCTCGCCACACTCCGAGAAACATAGAGAAACCTGCGAGAGAACCCAGTGTTGCCGTCGCCATCGCATCCTCGTCGCCGCCGCCTCGTCGCAGAAGAAGATCGTCGTTCGTCGCCGCCGATTAACTTTCCTTCCACTTTGTTCTTCGCAACCTAAGCTTATGCATACTCTATCTGATCTGCACGAAGAGGAGAATCCAAAAGTAGCCACGAAATCAATTTTGGCTCAATTGATTTTGGCTCCCCAAAGGAGAATCAAAGGGTCGAAGAAAAAAGAAAGAAGAAGTGAGGAGAGAGTTGGACTGGAAGAAATAGAAAAAGCAGGGACAGAGTTGGGATGAGAAAAGCGTTGAACGCGTTATTTCCAAATAACATCTCCCTATGTGGTATTTAGAATACTGCGTTTATGGGTTATTCTCAAAAAACGCGGCCCACAATACCACATCAGCCAAATCAATTGCCAAACAAGTTATTTTAGCCCAAATAACTCAAAAAGAGTTATTTGTGCCAAAATAACTCATTCAAAACACTCATCCAAACGACCCCTTACTAAATAAACCGGTTTGACAACCTTGTTATACGAGCATTATGTTAGTATTATATAATATTGTTGTCTCTTAGATTTGATAATCCTATAATACATAATATTTTATTGACCGCAAACAATATTAAATAATGTCCTTAGATATGTTGAGAGAACACACTAACTAAAACAAATGTACTGAGAATTCCAATAACATATTTAAACTTCATGATGTACCTTTTTCGAATTTGGCATTGGTGTTTAGGATTCAGGTTTTAAGGGGTCGTTTGGAAGTTGCGATTGTTAAATAGATGTATTGTTGAGAATGCATGTATAATATTATACATGTATTGTCGAATTTGATGCATTGTAGAATACAACGTTTGGTATGTGTGATTGTGTATGTCGCATCAGCTAAATGAGACAAAACAATCTCAACTCAACTATCTCAACAATCACAACTAAAAGTTGAGATATAACAATCACTCAAAATGAGTGATAGTTTCTGTCACATTACATAAACAATCCATGTATTGTTTCTGCTAAAAAAACGATATATTGTAAACAATACATGCATAATGACAATCTCAACAAAACAATCGCAACTTCCAAACGAACACTAAATTTTAACCCATCAAATAGTTAATAAAGCCCGTTCATCATTTTCTGCTCTTAATTTACCTAATAAAGCCCATCTGCACCCTTTCTGTTTCAATGACCCACGTGAATTAATAAAGCCTTCCTCTCTTTTCTATTTTCAATCGTCCATGTGGATTTTAAACAAAGGACCTAATAGCCCATCCGTAGGAGGAATTATGGTGCTAATTGTATAAGAGTTAGCACCGTCCTAACCAAGGGACAACAGAGGGCTTTATTGGTATTTAGTCAAATTAAATTTAAATTATCTCTCTCCTCATTCACAAAGAACTTTAACGTTAAAAAATACTAGAGAAAAAACTACTTCGTTGTTTTTAGTAACATTTTTAAATAGAAGAAGTTGATGATGTTTGGAAAGAATAATATTGTAAATGAATAAAGTACTACAGAGAACAAATATTACTACTAATATACAAAACACTACTAATACTTTACAAATATGACTGATCAACTATTGATTACAATAAGAATAACTACTAATACATATGAAAAACAATACACCACAATCACTACTAACCCAAAATCACTACTAATCAAATAATAATATAGATCTGGAAAAAATTCTCGTTCTTCCACACGCATGCTATCCACGAGCAATTGACGACAATGGTGGTGGGAAGCCAACGCAGACAAGGTCAGCGTCGTTGCGGGTGGAAATCGACGTTGTTGCGGGCGGAATAGGAGCAAGAGACGCTGACGACTCGGCGCCGTTGCCGGCGGAATTGACTTCGTTGTGGCGGCGATTGATGGATCTCGGGCTCTCTGCAGAATCGAACCACATCTCCAGCCCATCGTCTTCGTTTACGCTGGCGGCCACATCGACAACGCCGCAGCAGCGAGGGATGGATCTCGATGAAACTCTCCCTCCGTTTTGCTCCGCTGTCCCTCGCCGGTAGATAGCAACAGCGACCTCGACCTTGACCTCCATTCTAGATCTACAGTCTTGGTAGTAGCAGGGAGTGGTTTGCAGTAGAGAGAGACATGGGAGGCAGTGAGTCATTTTCTTGTAGAGGGAATTGTGAGAGAGAGGGCGAGAGTTTCTTAGGGTTTAGGAGAACTAATGAATACACTTACTAAAATAACCTCCATTTAATTCTTACTCTTAAATTGATATTTTAATCCAACGATTAGAGAAGTGGTTAGTACCGTGCCAACCCTTTAATCAGTTAGCATCTAATCTCATCCCCTCCGTTCAATGCGCAAGAGGCAGGAAATTTGTGATTAATGGGGTTCCGGAGGAGAACCTCCATATAGTATTTGTTTAGATGTTTAGATTAGATTAGATATCGGCTGCAATAATGAAAATTGGCTGCAAAAAAAATTATTTCTTATTTTCAGCAATAATTAATATGGACTAATGGACTGCAATAATGAAAATTGGCTGCAATAATGGAAACGCAGATATCAAGCGATCAATGTTCAAAACTCGATTGATTGGACAATGGACACTATATCAAACCGCAAGTATACATGGACTACTGTATCATCAAATCGTGGACTTCTTTCGGTAATTCGGTCGTATGTATCAAATACATTTCCTGTAGGGATGGCAATGGGTCGGGTTGGGGCGAGTTTTGTCAAATCCAAACCCAAACTCATGGGTTTATCCGCCAAAAAAACACGGGGTAAAACTCGTTGGGTTTAAAAAACTCAAACCCAACCTAACCCGCTGGGTATTCGCGGGTTCATGGGTACCCGTGGGTTTTTGTGGTAAAAAATTTACAGTAACAAGTTTCTTTCAAAATAAAAGTTTAACATCAATTTTCTCATACAAATTAATCATACAAAAAACACCAATCTAGAGCATACAAGCAAACCGCAAATGATCAATACAAATTGTTCAAAATTAAAGATAAACATCTATAAACAAAAGATTAATTGAAAACTTCTTCCTCGTCAACTGAGTTTCTTCACTCTCCACTTCGTAATATCAATTTCATTCTAAACAATTAGAAAGAACAAATTATACATGTCTCCACAAACACAAAGAATATTAATTGTCTAAGGAAAATATATTATTTAGAATATTAAATATACCGGGAAAGTAATTATATGTGTATGGGCGGGTAACCATGGGTCGGGTTTACCTAAACCCAAACCCAACCCGACCCGGGGAATAGTGTAGCGGGTTTAAACCCGAACCCGGCCCAAAACCCGTCAACACGGATTTTACCCGCGTTAACCGCGTTGGGTCGGGTGGGTACCCGTGGGTTCGGCTTTTGTTGCCATCCCTAAATTTTCCTGGTACCTTAAGGAATCGGTTCCAGCCACTCACACAGGCCACAGCTGGTCTATGAGTGATTGGGGGAGGATCTACTGATCGAGTGACAAAGGGGTGCTTAGTCACTTGACTAATCCCCTCCTAGCCCTTAGACGTGGGCGAACAATCTGACGGTTAAAAAGTGGGAAGAGCTATTTAATTAATGTCAGGGGTTGTTTGGGTATTATGAAAAATTACGAAGTATACAAACCAGACTTACAAACAGTACAAACATTACAAACTATAACGATAAAACATACAAACAATACAAACATACGAACTGTACAAACAATACAGACAATACAAATTAGACCGACACAATACAAACTATACAAAATGAAAAAACAATTGGGTTGACTTTGGAGGCTTCATCCCTATATAGAGGGACTCGTTACAAAGTCAATCCGATTGTTTTTAGACATACAAACATTATAAACATGGTGGACAAAAATTACAAACTAGACCGACAAACCATACAAAATGGAAAAACACTCGGGTTGACTTTGAAGGCTCCGTCTCTATATAGAGGAGTTTCATTCAAAAGTTAACCAGATTGTTTTTTAGACATAGAAAACATTACAAAGATGACAGACATGGAGCACAAAAATAACAAAGTTTACAAACATTACAGAATAAACCGGCAAACATTACAAAGCATACTAACATTACAAAATAACACTACTTACAATACAAATCGATAAAATTGTATTGCAAATCAATGAATACAAAGTATACAAACTACACAAACAAATATTATAACTCAAATTATATACAAATTAGTCATATAAACATTACAAACACAATTGACAAAAATAACAAACTAGAATGATAAACGATACCAACCTAATAAATATAAACATTACAAACCATACTTATAAACATTATAAAATAGGTCCACAAATATTACAAAATGCAGGCCCGCCAAAAAATTCACTCCGCCGTCAGAAAATCTCTCTCTCTCCTGTTGAGGAGGGGGGAAATCCCCAGAAAAGGAACGGCGACAGGAGGGCGGAGGGACGGTATGATTTTTTTATTTTACTTTAATTATTAAATAAATAAATATATAATTATCATCTTACCCTTTATTAAACTAGATAAATCTAAACCATTAAATTTTAATGAAGTGCTACGACTGAAATTGGCTTAGTCATATGATTAAGGGACCCTTATTCACCTAATTTTAACCCGATTGGTGGGGCAACATTATTGAAACTCAAAAGTGATCCTACAAGTGCTTCATAACCCAAGCCAATTTCCGAATTTCGCCAAGGATGCTTACAAGAGTTTTTTGCAAGTCATTTCTCATCTAATTCTCGGAGATTTGATCGAAGTTGAAGAACAACTATCGTTAGGATCCTGTGAAGTGAAAGCTGCCTCAGTTAGGATGAAATGAGTTGAAAGTGAAAAACGACCGCAAACTGCTGCTACTCTCTACTCCTCAAAACCAAAGCTGCCTCAGTTAGGATGAAATGAGTTGAAAGTGAAAAACGACCGCAAACTGCTGCTACTCTCTACTCCTCAAAACCAAAGACAATGTAATTTGTAAAACAACGATGATTTCCAGAGGCACAATGAAGGCTTCTTAGAACCACAAACAAAGAAACAGTAAACAAGAGCTGGGGGATTGGTGGCACGGTTACAGCCATATTCTTGTTGCTGTTGCAGCAAAAGCTTGTCTATGACGAATCCACTTTCAGTACTATCTTCATGAATTCATACACAAAATAACTTATTGCAGCAGAAGGTAAAACCTGCAAGACACAGAACGGTACTATGTTCAGACTGGAACGGGACCTGAAAGATACCAGTATTCACAAATCTCAGTGGAAGCAAATGCGTGCAGACAGTAAGCAAGACCTAAAAGGATCAGAAAACCAAAAGATTGCCTAATACGGGTATATGATGTCACTGATAGGAGACTCAGCTGCGTATTATCACTCAATCATATTAGAAAGAAGTTGCAAGAAAAGGGTTTGAAAGTTGGTACTAACTAAACACATGGTTTTGTATACCTGTAACAAGCTTGGTATTAATCCAGCATATAGAGCAGGAATGCCTCCCTGTTCAACTATCTTCAAACAAGTTGCCACTGCATTCATCTTTGTGGCACGGACTTGCATTTGAAGCTGTCTCCTCACAACTTCAAATGGGTAAGTAGCAGCCTCGGAGCAACACCCTGCAATCGCACCATAGAGCAGTGTCCTGTAGGGACCCAACTCCAGCTGGTCAAAGGCATTCAGCTCTTGCCCTTCTTGGTTCATGTGTTGAATTCTCGCCTTCCCCTCGGGCGAATGAAGATATCCTGTCTTGAGTATATCGTAGACACCATAAAATACTGCACCCGCAGGAGCCATGCTTGCTAATGAGGGTACTAAACCCTTGTAAAGTGAGAAGAAGCCTTCAGTCTGGATCATGTAACGAAATGTCCCAATTACACCACCCAATGCTTCACCACCAGGTGCTACCATCTTGGTCCTTATCTGCAGTACGTGTGTGGGATTCAAGAATGTTAAGTAATATTCTCGCTGAAGGTGCTTGAGTAATGCAGTGTGTAATGAAACTGAAACCACAAATTCAGTTCAAGTGCCAATTTCATGTGACAGTTCGATACTCCATCATCATTGTACATGAGCAGGAAATGTTAGTCGTAAAATTTCCCACAAGTGGACTTTGCCTCAAACAAACCAGGAAACGTATTCCTTAAACTGGTTTTGTTGCACTAGACCAAAACCAATTATAAAATCCATTGAAGTTGTACAATCAACATCTCGAAGTAGCATGAATGAAGAAGACGGCAATTACACCGCAGGCAACAGTAAAGCAGAAAACACAACTACTCTAGGTCACCTGTGCTTCCAAGCAGTATCCCAAATTTTTAGCTTAAGAATTTATATCTATACTCCTACACTGATAGGATAATCCAAAGATAAAGTAAGTTGAAAAGAAAGCCCAAGCCAAAAACTTATGAAGAACCATTAAAGATGGAGCCTTGAGGTGCTACGTACAGTGTCCAAAGGCAAGCAGAGCAGAGAAGCAGTAACACCAGCGGCAGCACCTGCAATAAACCTCTCAAAGTTTGTGGTTTCCTCATTCGCAGTCCATTTCAGTAGTGTCTTTCTGTACGTATCGTATGCATAAAAGTTGATAGCCTTAAAGGGAGCAGTTCGAAGAATATTGACCAAGTTGCCTTTCCAGAAACCTTTGACCCCTTGAGTTAAGAAAATTTTCCTGGTGAGTGCAACTATATTCGTCGTCTCGCCACAAAGTATGTACTCCAGCTTCATTCTCTCCAGAGGTGCTATAATGGTTCTGTTTGAAGAAAGACTATGATGAATGCTGAGATGCTAAAAGCTACAATGAAAGATTTCTAGACAATCTACTACAATACCATGCCAGACAAGTTAAGTTGAAATTTTGTTTCCAGCCCATGCAAATATTCTGTCGAATCCATCGAGAGACTAATCTTCTTTCAAAACTTCTAGCAAACATTAGTACCGTACTTGCATTAGGGAGGCTGGAACCAGCTATTGAAACTTCACTCCTCAAAAAACATGAATTGACAAGACTGCAACTCCATGGGTGTAGAGCTTATCTATGAGCCTAGTGACTGGTCAACTATGGGTGGGCGTTGAATGGTATAATAGCTCATTGTCTTGATTTCTCAATGCCGATTGTAAATCCAATTTTACGCAGAATCAGCAAAATGATATATCACTAACAAACATTATAAAGGAGAACTTGTAAATACAACTTCCAAAACCATTCTTGCCAGGCAAATAAGAATGAAGGCAAACCTGGAAACCATAGCTGCAACGGCGCCAGCCCAGAGATGCTTAGTGGTATTGAAAGCCGCTGATCCGGAATTCCGCACACCAACCTTCTTCTTCTTCTTCTTCTCATCATCATTCCCCTTCTTCGCCTCAGCAGCGAGAAATGTGCCCAACTTCATTTCCGCCTCCAAATTCTTGTCTTCTCCATTCTCAGCCAAGCTTCCCGGCCGTTCCGCAACAAACTCTTCGTCGCCCCGTTTTATCGACAAACTTACAGAAAGAAACGCCAGTGCATCCCTTCGCCGCCGCTGCCGGCGCCGGGGCAGGCCGCCATCGACCTCAAGCCTCAAATTCCTGGAGAGCCCCGAGTAGCGAGAGGAGTCGGGCTGCTTAGGTTTCAAGGAGAAGAACGAAGGGAGAACTGTTTCGTGGTCGAGGAAGATGCCGCCGACGAGGATAGAAGAAGAAGAAGAAGAAGAAGAAGAAGAAGAAGAAGAAGAAGAAGAAGAAGAAGAGTAATCAGAGTGTTGTTGTTGGTGGAGGGGAGAGTGGAGCTTGATCAGTGCTGGGAAAATTAGATCCTGGCCGCCGTACATTGCGCCGGGAATTGGGAATCGATGGTCTGGTGGAAAAGCCAATAGGAGAGCAACACCATGAAGAAATGGGGGGGGATTCGTCGAATGACGGAGAAGAAGTGAAGAGGAAGGCTGGAGTGGGGAGTAGGTGGGAAATGGTTAGGTCAGGGAGATGGTAATGGTGACAGGGAGGGGACTTGGAAGATGGCGCGGGAGGGAGAAAGGAGTTTCCGACGGGGGAATGGCTTCGCTGGAATCGCCCCGCGAGGATACGAACACGAGGAGAGAACACAGAATCCTGCTTCGCTTTTGGAAATTCCAATGTCGACCAATCGTCCCCTTTCTCCTACAATTCCTATGCGTTAATCAATACTGAGAGTTAACAGTTATGTTGGAAGATAAAAAAAAAACGGTTGACTAACGGTCAAATCAGCACATACCGATTTAAAAAATTCAATTTTTCAATAATTACAATTTATCCTCTTAATTTTGAACAAAAAAGAAAATAATTTAAAAAAACTGTCGGGTCTGTTTCATTTATCTAAAATCGCCGAGGATAGGTTCCTTTTTCTATCCCTAATATCAGCCAACGCCATAAACCCATCGGCGAAATCCTGACTGATCGACTGCTTCTTCAGCACCATCTTCGCTTTCAACTTGTTCATCCTCACTTCCTCCTTGCAACACTGAACCCCTCTCGAGTGCGGAATCCCAATCGTCAACAACAATGCGGCCATGTCCCCATTCAATTCATTCGAATTAGTAAATTTCAACGAGATGCTCCCGACGTATCCAGCGAATTTCGCTCAGGAACGGATTTTCCCCAACCTCTTGGCGTGTCTCCCATCGATTAAACCCGAACTGGACAGCCAGACGAACTGCTCGATGAAGTATTAGATTCCTTCACCGTCGTAGGTGAGGATCGAGAGGATCAATTCTTGTCGGGAGTGGAAGTGGGAGGAGCTGGGGAAGTGACGTCCTGGACGAATTTCTTGAGGCGAAATGCCTTATGGTTGAGGCCGACGCTGGACTCAAAGTTCCTGAGGCGGTTGATTAGAATTAAGGTTTCTGGGATGATCGAGGAGGAGAGAATGATCTTGGCGGCGTATCGCGAGATCTTCAGGAGCTTGTCGACGCTGTCTCGTTTGGAGAGGTAGGCTTCCATATGGTTGAGAAAATATCGGTCATTGACTTTTCAGGTTGGCTTATACCAACTCCAATGCAAGCCCCCGAATTTGGGGATCTTCATCCCCAAATTTGGGGTTCATTCCCATTTTCCCTTCTTTTGCTCCAATGCTACATCCTCTATATTTGGAGATCTCCATTTTTTAAGTTTTCTATTTACTTAAAAATGTACTTATCGAAACCTTAATATAATTTGTTCATGTTAATTTTTGTATAGTTCGTCATCATTTTTAAATACAAATTTTCCGGTAGAATTTTTTTAAATTTTGAGACCAAATTTTTGTTGACAAAAAATGATTGACCTAATTTGGATTTACACACAACACTTGAAAATTATTGATCTAATTAAACCCCTAACTAATCCCCTAATTAAACCCCAATTAACCCTTAAAATCTTAAAAAGAAAAAGAAACGCCACGTGGCGGGCTTTGGGGAGTCTCTATATTTGGGGGAACCCCCTTTTGCACCCCCAAATTTGGGGATCGTTTTGGAGATCTCCTCCAATATAGAGACTCCTCCATTTATAGAGGCTCCATTGGAGCCAACTTGCCCCCAAATATAGAGGCTCCCCCATTTATAGAGGCTCCATTGGAGTTAGCCTTAGGCAATTGGTTTTTTGTTGGGGGGGGGGGGGGGGGGGGTGGTAGTTATTTTAGCTTTCGATGTCGGTGATTAGAAGACCGTTTGGCGCTTCATTTTTGTCGGTCGAGTGAGGAAGGTGGTTGTCGGTTGTAGGGTTAATGAAAGGTACTCGACAGTTTATTTTAAATTTTCTTTTTTCAAAATAAATAAGAGAAATGGTAATAGGTGAAAAAACGAAATACTTTAAGTTGGTATGTGCTGACATGGGAGATTCACCGTTAGTCAATGGTCTTGACCGTCCAACATAATGGCCAACTCTTGGGTTTGGCCAATTTTGTAAATTTGATTCATAGTTGAAGCCACAAAGTTATTGATCGAAAAAATTGGTCAGGATGTTGAATATGTGTAAAGTTTGGGCTAGTCAAAAATATTAACCCATATTATATAAAGAAAATATATAATGTTGTGGTGGACGGTAAATAACAGTCAACCCGCCATGTCACTGCCTAATCAACACATACGAACTTAAAGTTCTATTTTTGCACCTATTATCATTTATCTTTGTTTTTAACAAAAGGAAAATTAAATTAAATTAAAAAGTAAGTGTCAAGTCTCTTTCATTTATCTAAAGTCGCCTATGATAGGTTCCCTTTTCCGTCCTTAATGTCAGCTAATGCCATAAACCCATTGGTGAAATCCTGAACCATCCACAACTTCTTCATCACCATCTTCGCTTTCAACTTGTACATCTCACTTCCTCCTCTCAGCATTGAAACCCTCTCGAGTGCGAGATCTCGATTGGTGACGACCGCGCTGCCATGTCCCCGTTGAATTCGTTTGAATCATTAAATTTCAACAATATGCTCTCGACGTATCCGCCGAATTCCGCCCATACACTGATTTTCCCCAACCTCTTGTTGTGTCTCACATCGATTAAGCCCAAATTGGACAACCAGATTAACTGCTCGACGAAGATTCCTTCACCGTCGTAGGCGAGGATCGAGAGGATCAATTCCTGTCAGGAGTGGAAGTGGGAGGAACCAAGGAATTGACGTCCTGGACAAATTTCCTGAGGCGGAATGCCTTATGGGTGAGGTCGACGCTAGACTCGAACTCCTGAGGCGGTTGTTTAGAATAATGGTTTCTGGGAGGATCAAGGAGGAGAGAACGATCTTGGCGGCATATCGTGAGATCTTCATGAGCTTGTCGATGACGTCTCGTTTGGAGAGGTAGGCCTCCCGGTGGTTGAGGAAATATCGCGCATTGACTTTCAGGTTGGCTATGGCGATTGGTGGGGGGGGGGGGGGGGGGGGGGGGGGGGGGGGGGTTCAGAAATCAGAAGGGTGGTCGTTATTTTAGCTTCCGTTGTCGGTGATTAGAAGACCGTCTGCCGCTTCATTTTCATCGGTCGAGGGAAGAAGGTAGTTGTCGGATGTAGGGTTGATGAAAAGGACCTGGCAATTTATTTTCAATTTTCTTTTCCTTTTATTCAAAATAAATTAGATAAAGGTAATAGGTGGACATGCTAGCGACATGGCGGGTTAACTGTAAATTTGATGCATAGTTGAGGCCACCAAGTTATAGATCGAAAAGATTGGTCATTATATTGAATATGTGTAAAATTTGGGCCAGAAAAAATATTAACCCAATATTATATAAAGAAAATATATACAATACCTTGAATCTTATGTTAAACAACAAATGTAAACCACTTTCTAAATAGAAAAGGAAGATGATGGTATCACTACTAAAACACACAAGTTTTAGTAATAGTAAAAAAAGTTTCCAACCAAAAAAAGGTTCTTTTCGACAGATAAGAGTCCACAAACTTGCATGCACACTCAAACTCAGGTCGTGATGAAAGTATAGGGGCATATTCCAACACTCATCAACCTATGGGTTCATGGGGAAAAAACCCAAGCAAGAGAGCGATTCAGTTAAACCGAAATAAAGCATAAAACAGAAAGGTCATGGTTGTAGAAATTTGGCATGCTGCTGACAACTCGACCGATATACCGAAGGAGTACGGTTGTGTTATGTAATTCCATCCTAGAACAAACAAAGCAACCATATGAAAGGTGAGAAAGCGAGTTCCTGATGTTGCTGGGAAAAACAAATGAAGGAGATAAGAGAAGAGCAGTGTACCCATTGGAAAAGACGAAGGTCGGAGTGGAAGAAGGTTTCCCAAACTTAGCTGGGAGACTGAAATTTGAAACCCTAGCAGCAACAATCACTGCCAAGGGGACGGAATCCGCCGAGAAAGAGAATTCCTTGATCTCCATTGACTGTGACTCCTAAGTAGCAGAAACCGGCAAGAAAAAAGGGGCATGAAAACAATGGGGAAGCCAAAACAGCTAAAGAAAGAAAGGGGACAAATTTAAGCTTGGGTCGGGCCCTTTATGCAATTTGATTGTTTACCTTTTTCTCATGGCCTCTTGGACAGAAAAATTACCCAACCCGCAGCTAATTTTGGAGTTTCTCAAATTCTCTCTGACGACATACTCAATGGTATTTGCTCCATTGCAAATCTTACACTTTATATGCGGTTAAATTACACGTTTGGTCACTCAAATTGTACAAATCTTGCATGTTTGCCATCTGAATCATTTTATTTTTTCTTATTTGTCACTAACTTTACGAATTCTTTCACTATTAATCATCGATCATCTGTCTCCGTCAGACTCTATTAAGGGTGTAATGTGTCAATAATGGTTGTTTATTAGGTTTACAATAACGTTGTGGGTTGTTTTTCAATAGAAAATGCATTCCATTTTTTTTCTTTAGTCCATTATCGATTGGTCTCTATGGTGAACATAGGTAGATAACATGGTGGATGGCCTTTATTACTAGTACGTAATACTGATTGGCCACTTGCTTCCTTTTTCTGACCTCTTTATTTGATCATCAACTCAAAAAGAATAGTGGGAAGCATTTATTGAAGAATGAGTCTATTGTGTACTATGACCATGTTGATATTGACTAGTCTGGTTTCTATCCTAGACTTGCCAGGCATCTATAAGGAGTATGGTGGGAAGCTTACAAATCTATATTTTTATTGGAAAGCTACTCTTCACAAATCAATGACGGAATTACTAAAGATGAAGACTTATTGGAAATGACCACATCAGCTAATAAAGCTCTTATAATCATCAAAATTTATGCTATGGTTGAGCAAGTAGTTCTTGAATTTATGGAGAGTGATGATAAAGAAGAGGCAACTCAACATGGGGAAAAGGAGGTAACGGTAGGTGACGCCGTGAGGAGGATGATGATGAAAGAAATGATGAAGATAGTGACTTGAGTACGATTCTAACTTGGATCTTAGCGATGGTGATAGTGCAAAGTTTTAGAAGAATGTGAATGTAGAGGTGGAGGTGGAGGCCGAAATGAGAGTGCTTGGTGGTGGATACTCTAGCATCAATGATGCAGAAATAAACAAAAAGGAATCTAGTTATGTAGTCTCGGATGATCATAGACCTATCCAGAGTTTGGATGATGAATCTTAAGGTGCAAAAATTATAGATTTTGAGTGGACCAAGACATGGAGATGCAAACATTTGCTATTACTAAAAAGCTCAGCAGCGTTGGTGTTTTGAAGGATGCACTCAAGAAGTACTCTTTCGTGGAAAGCAACCAATATTTTTCAAAAAGAATTATAGAAATAGGTTGCAAGCGATGTGTGAGGCATTATGTCATTGGTACATATGGGCATCCAAGGTGAGGGATGAGGATGATGTGAGGATCCCTGGATGGAAATTGGAGCACACAACAAATTGCACCTTTACCTCAGAAATAAGTATGCAACATACAAGTTCTTGGGGGATAACAAACTAGGAAGGTGGCAGCAGACCACAATATGATTAAGACGTTGTTGAAGCAAATTGTAAAGGAAGATATAGGGAAAATATCAGGGATACGAAGGCATGGAGAATCAAGAAGACAACAATTGAGAAGGTCTATGGAACTATCAAGGATGGTTGGAATTGGAACAATGTGATTGTGGATTAGAGGAATAGGGTCTTGTTATCATGTGGAAAGGGATTAGGAGGAACTGATGTTGTCATATGCCTGTAGACGATGACGGGTAAATAAGTGGGTTGCTCATTTGTGTATAAATATTGAGAAAAAAACTCCAACGATTGAGCCAAGAAGCTCTTAAGTGGGCTGTTGAATCGAATAACTATGGTGAGTTTGAGGTAAGGTGGCACAACAAGCAACTTGTAGTTAATTTGAGAGACAAGACTTGTATTTGTAGAAGGTGTGAGTTAACCGATATCCCTTGTGAGCATGTCATTCAAGCAATTGGTAGGGTAAAACTTAGGGTATATGATTTTGTGGTTGGTTGTTACATAACAATGCACAATGAAAGAGTCGAATGGTCCGAAGCTACAAAGCAGAAGGTCCATTCATATATATTTGCATGAAAGGAAGAGAGATTCAAATAATCTTACCCCAAACTTGCTACATTCATAGAACCTCTGCCCTGGATTTGAATCGGTCCAACTAGTCCTCAAATGTTTTGGGTACCCACAGTGACAACATTGGGGTAGACATGGCTCACATCGCCAGCCTCCAAAGTGCACTAGTTATTGAAGAGGATGAGGAAGAAGACAGAGAATGAGGGATAAGTAAAAGGAAGGTGGTTTTGTCCTTTAACGGAGGACAAGAGGGTGAAGAAGACAAGAAGAAGATAGAGGTGAAAGAACAAACATGGTGGGTGAGAAGGGATTTTAATGGTGGACAAAATATTTTTCCCCACCTAAAAGGTAAAAAGTAGAGACAAAATGGGGAAAATAGTTATTTTTTCCTCTCATTCCACGTCAGTACATAAACTGAAGCAAATAAAAAAATGTATCGGTTACAGAAAAAGATGACGCAAATATGCTGAAAATGGTGTCGGTTGAATTTAGTTGACCCAAACTCGCAAGAAAACTATGGCGGGTCTTTCACCGACACAAATCTCGGATGCTTAATAGATTTTTAGTGTCAGTAATATGAACTGACACTATACAACCGACATGAAACCCCTGTTTTCTTGTAGTGTGAGCTCGTAATTTAGATAAAGCTCATACCTTATGTTGGATGACAACCTTAAAGCGAAGGTGTTTCCAGCCTTTTATAACTACTAAGAGACTAAGATAATTCACACAGACATACTCAATTCATTACTCACATATCATTTGTATATAATTTTGTTAGAAGGCTACTCTTAATGGTAGTAAGATAATTATACTAGTTTCTCGTATTTATGTTAAGAGTTAACTATGAGTTGATTATTAAGTTTTAGGGCTTTGCTAAAGTGACTTGCAATTCACCGTACCTTGCACTTTTCGGTTGACCTCATTTAGGATTAGGTCGACCTAATCTTTTGTTTGTGTAAAAAAATCTTTGGTTGTTTGTTGCTATAGAGGTCTGGAGAGTTGCATTGGTTTGAGTTAGGTTTGCTTGGGGACAAGCAAACGGTTAAGTGTGGGGGAATTTGATAACGATGTAATTGCACATATTTGCGCCCCTAGTTCTTATCCGTTTGAGGGACATAGTCGTGTATTTTTGGCCTATTTTACGCCGGGTTGTGCTACTTTGTCATATTTCAGGTCCCAGGTGTCAAAGGAAAGGCTAAGCACGAGTTTCAGGGCATTCGGAAGTCATTTCGTCGAGCTGGAGCCAAAACACGGGCACACCTAAAGCAGAACACGGCCGTGTTCCTAGGCCGTGCTTTTACTGCCGAGAGCAAATTCGAGTTTGGCAAACATGAGCTGAAAACACGGGCAGGGCTGAGAAATTACACGACCGTGTCCACCAAAGCACGACCGTGTCCACCCAAAAGCACGGCCGTGTTTCTCCCAACAGACTGGTCGTGTAATTAACCCTAGCCAAAGCACGGGTGGGCTGGAGCAAAGCACGGCCGTGCCCTCGACCGTGCTTTGCCCAGTGATGCCCTTTTAAGCAGATTTCAGCCAAAACAGAGGGGGATTCGAGTTTTGAGAGAGATAGAGCGATTCCTAGAGAGAGAAAGTGACGAACAAGAGTCTCCAAGTGCCCTAGATTGATCTTCAACACCATTGGAGGCCAGCTTGAGCTTGGAGAAGTGCCGATCAACGTCCAGGAGCAGGAATCCATCCTTCACAGTATGAATTCCGCGTCTGATTCTGCTTTTGCTTCTTTCTCCATGGAGTAGTATGGAGAACCCTAGATTTGTATGTTAGGTTTGATTGTATGAACCCAAGTACTGGTTCTATGATTTGATTATATTCAATTGAGGTTTGAATGATTGAATGGCATGAATCCTGATCAAATTCCTGTTGTTTCTGCTTTAACCTAGAATGAGAATATCTGCCTAGGTTGATAGAGCATCCTTGATTGAAGGTAGGGATTTGGTGACTTTAGTCGAGGAGCCAACTCACTATTCTGTACCGGTTTTACTCCGGTAGTGGAGGTTTTGTTCATAGGGCCTCAATCTGTTTACTCCGGTGGAGGTTAGTCGCCCGCTAGAGACTCAGATTGAGAGGGTCTGAAGACCTTTAGTCGAGACTTCAGGCTGTTTGAGAACCTTCCGCAGTATAACTATCATAGAAACTGAACTTGGTAATTACAATCCGGCTTAACTGCAGTCTAGGGGGAACCATATCCGGGTGACCTCTCTTAACCTGAATACAACCGTTTACTTGCTTTGTTAGTTTGTTAGTTTAGACTTGCATTAAAGTTTCATTGCTAGATAACAAGAATTCACTGAGTAGTCATCAAATCTAGGACCCGGGTTGACATATAAACCCAAACCCGCTATACTACGCTTTAGGAAGTGGTTTCACTTGGCCAATTCCTGGAGTGACAGTAGAAGTGAGTCACTAATCCTAAATAAGGTCGATCGAAAAGTGCAAGTTATGGTGACTTGCAAGGCACCATAGGCGCACCCTAAGTTTTATTCATTACATATTATGAATTTATGCATTAACATGAGTTTTTTCTCACGAATTTATGCATTAACATGAGATTTTTTCCTCATGTATTGATAATGATATGTTATATTATATTGATTAACCAGATTAACCAATTAAACAAAATGATTAAACTTTAGTTTGATTGTTGTATTGATTTGAATGATTTTGTTAAAATATTATATTAAATGGTTACCAAAATTTAGACTTAATTGATTTGATAGTTATCATGGTAAGAACAGCTCTAGGTCAAAGAATGCATTTCCAACTATGCAACTTGATGAAAGAAACCATCTCTAATAAGGAGGTCAGATATTAATATGGGTCCTCGCTAGCAAGTAGTCATGATTATGACCTGTTAAAAACTAAATTGTAACAGTGGTCTCATGATAAGCATATTAACCTTGTGAGAATTATTAAATGGTGTTAGTTTTTTTTTACTTTAATTGTACTAAACTAAAAGTAGTCCTCCTCTATTGTTTGTTCTTAGAAGACATCATACTCAAATAAAATAAAGACATTCTTTATCATTGAAACTATGAGTGACAAAGATTAGTTATATTCGAAAATTTTGGTAAATTTTAGTTTGAAATTGACTTTAAATAGGTCATAACTAAGTTTATATATTCTCGGTTGGGAAAGGGACCTAACTAGAATACTGTTTGTCGGGGTGGTAACTATGATGAGTTTAGTTGGGGAGGGGCCCACTATATTGGCCCGAAAGAAGGCCAGTCCAGAATCAGCTTAGTCTCAAGTTCAACCAATGTCCTACATGGCTTAGTTTTAATGTTTTATGGCTTATCGTTTTCACGTAGGAATAGGTTTTCTTTTACTTCTTATACAAGGAATCCTTATTCATTTTGTTGAGTAACCCAAACACCCAGTAAAGGGTTATGTATGTATGCTTGTAAGGCTTTAAGCCGTCAAGTGAAGAAATAAAGTTGTGAGCTGGAGAGGCTCACTCTCATTTGGATTAGTCCCTAATAACAAATTGGGGATACCACGCAAAATCCGTGTATCGTGTTCCGCAGTAAAATATGTGTGTGTCGATTTATTATGGTATCAAAGCACTAGATCCCAAAGTTAGATTCGTCTAATTGTAATTATGTGTGACGAAGAAGTCAATAATTCTTCAGGCTCTAGAGACAAATCCATCTTCTCGTCATCATCCTCTAGTCCTAGTGAAGGTCAAGTCTTTCTAGAACCACATTCACCTTATTTTCTTCATCCATCTGATGTTAATGATCAGCTTTAAGTCTGTGAGTTTCTCATGCATCTAACTATGGAGAATGGGTCGTTGATGTTCCTTTTGCTCTTATAGTCAATAATTCTTCAGGCTCTAGAGACAAATCCATCTTCTCGTCATCATCCTCTAGTCCTAGTGAAGGTCAAGTCTTTCTAGAACCACATTCACCTTATTTTCTTCATCCATCTGATGTTAATGATCAGCTTTAAGTCTGTGAGTTTCTCATGCATCTAACTATGGAGAATGGGTCGTTGATGTTCCTTTTGCTCTTATAGTTAAGAACAAGTTTGGTTTAGTTGATGGCACTATCCCCCAAACCAACCTAGGAACCTGAGTTAGGTGCATGGAATCTTCGTAACACTATTGTCAAAGGTTTTTTAAAATCTCGATGAAAAAAGTTCACAACATTGTTTGATATGCAAAGACAACTAGAGAAGTATGGGTCGACTTGAAAGAGCAATTCAGTCAAGGTAACCTCACCCGCGACGACGAACCCTATTGCCTTGTCAGTGTGCTTTATTAAGAGAAGCTATTGTGTCCTCCTTTTATACTTAGCTACTAAACTTGTGGGAAGAAGCTCAATCTCTTTCACCCATGAAACTTGTACTTGCAGTCAGTGTCAATGTGGTTTGGAAGCTCGAAATCGAGCATTTAAGGTTGTTTGCTTATCTAATGGGCATGGATGAAAGTTTTAGCACAGTTTGCAGTCAAATTCTTTCAATGGAGTTGTCTATGTCTCTTATAGAAGTTTTAACATGGTGTCCACTATGAACAATGTCTTCTTGTGCAAAAAAATGTCTCCCTAATTCCTAAAGAGACGCATTTGTAGTCAATTATGATGGTGATTATCAGCATACTACTGATGATCGTCCAAAATACTTTCAATTTTGGAAAATTGGTCACTTTAAATATACCTTCTATGACCTTGTCAAGTGGCCTAGTCGAAACTCTACCGATAAAAGTGAGAAGGGAGAGTGGAGGAAGAGACGCTAGGAAGAACGTCCACCACCTGTTGCACAAGCAACCACGATAACTATGGGCACAATTCCCTTACATGGCTTCATGCTCGAGTAGCTCGAGCCTTTGAAGAAGTTTTTCTCCCAGCATAAGCCAATCAAGGATCCTTCGACACTGTCACGACTGTTTCTTTGCGAATCTGGAAATTAAAGGATCGACAAAGCAAGAATATGAAAGCAAGAAATGAAACACAACAGAAAGATTTACGTGATTCACTAACACAATGTGTGTTAGCTATTCCAAGGACATACAAATTACAATGAGACCCCTGTGACTTCCACTCGTAGCCAGATAGTTCGATTTAAATCATCAACAGACACACATTGCAGGTACGATTATTACTGATTCTGAATGGTTATCAATTTGGGTTGTAACGAGCATATCACCAAGGATACCCACTTGTTGAATGATGAGTTATCTAGACAAGATCATCAACGTGTGAGGATTCTGAATGATGAAAGTGTTCCTGTTGAACGGAGTTGTCTATGCCTCTTATAGAAGTTTTAACATGGTGTCCACTATGAACAATGTCTTCTTGTGCAAAAAAATGTCTCCCTAATTCCTAAAGAGACGCATTTGTAGTCAATTATGATGGTGATTATCAGCATACTACTGATGATCGTCCAAAATACTTTCAATTTTGGAAAATTGGTCACTTTAAATATACCTTCTATGACCTTGTCAAGTGGCCTAGTCGAAACTCTACCGATAAAAGTGAGAAGGGAGAGTGGAGGAAGAGACGCTAGGAAGAACGTCCACCACCTGTTGCACAAGCAACCACGATAACTATGGGCACAATTCCCTTACATGGCTTCATGCTCGAGTAGCTCGAGCCTTTGAAGAAGTTTTTCTCCCAGCATAAGCCAATCAAGGATCCTTCGACACTGTCACGACTGTTTCTTTGCGAATCTGGAAATTAAAGGATCGACAAAGCAAGAATATGAAAGCAAGAAATGAAACACAACAGAAAGATTTACGTGATTCACTAACACAATGTGTGTTAGCTATTCCAAGGACATACAAATTACAATGAGACCCCCGTGACTTCCACTCGTAGCCAGATAGTTCGATTTAAATCATCAACAGACACACATTGCAGGTACGATTATTACTGATTCTGAATGGTTATCAATTTGGGTTGTAACGAGCATATCACCAAGGATACCCACTTGTTGAATGATGAGTTATCTAGACAAGATCATCAACGTGTGAGGATTCTGAATGATGAAAGTGTTCCTGTTGAACAGATTGGCACTGGAAAGCATCTTGCATGTGTAAGATTTTAAGTGCAATCTTTTGTCATTCCTCAAATGAACTCAAGATAACGATGACACACTTATATTATTTTGTGATTTATGCATACTCTAGGACCGTGATTGGGAAGCGGATTCGCCGTAATGGGCTCTACTACCTCAAGTTGTTTGAGAGAAATGAGTCTTTTGTGTGTTGTTGTCGGTGGTCAACACTCTATCTCTGAGGAAGTTTGGCATCCCCGTCTTGGACATCCTTCCTTGTTAAAATTTTCTTGTTTACGTTCTTTTATTTTAGTTCTGGGCATCAAGGAACATGACTTGTCTCATTCAATTCCCATGCAAAACAAAGTCTACTTCCTCTTGAACATAGTCGATTAAGACTTCTGATTATTTTGAGTTAATTCATGTTGACATTTGGGGTGGATACCGAACTTTGTCACTTAGCGGAGTGCATTGTTTCTTAAAAATTGTTGATGATTTTAGTCGTGGAGTTTTGGTATATCTTTTGAAGTGCAATTCAGGTATCTCGTTATCTCCTTATGTTCTTTGAAATGGTTGTTACACAATTTGGGAAGAAAGTTAAACGCATTTAGTTCGACAATGGTTTAGTTTCAAACCGCAGTTCAGAGTGACTACTATGAGAGCTTTTGTATTATTCTGCAGACTAGTTGTAACAATAATCCCCAACACATATGGGGTTGTTAAACATAAGCATAGGTATATCCTGGAGACTTCTAAGACACTACGTTTTCATGCATGACTCCCCTTGCATTCTTGGGGTGAGTGTGTACTCACTACGGTCAACCTCATCAACCGATTGCCCACCATGACAACAAATAAGACACCCTACAAGCTCATGTTTGGAAAACCAACACCTTATTTTATTCTTATCTCCAATAATTTGATCGTCTCCATTATGTTAAAGATAATCATGGGGCACTTTAGGAGTTTGCTGACATTTTTTAGGCTATGTAGGTACACAAAAAGGGTTATAAATTCTATGATCTTCTCACTCGCAAGGTACATGTGTCGCGTGAAGTCATCTTCCATTAGACATATTTTAATTCCCACGCTCAAGACCCATAGCAGTTCCATTATGTATTGTCGCCTTTCCTTTCAAATTCAACTAATATGGATGGGTCCCTCTCAAGTCTGTTTGATGATGTCCATACCAAATAGTGCTCATCCCAAATTTCTTCATAAGACTAACCTGCTGTCGAGACTTCACCTCCTAAAGGCGATACTGAGTCATCTTAACTTCGAGATGCCTCTTTTGCTTGACAGTTTTCACCATGATCACCCTTCACTCCTATTCCTATGGCTCCTCTTAGTGAGGTCAATGAGACGCCTACTCCAGCTCAGTCGTCTCCCAAAGTCGGTCATGTTCCATGTCACAAATGACCTCCTCAATGTCTACGAAATGTACTTGCACAATGCTTTACACGTTTACTACAGGTTGTCCCACTATGTTTCTTATGAAAGTCATAGTCCTCAACATCAAGCTTTCCTTATTGTGATCGCTCGAGACATTGATCCTCAAAGCTTCTCTCAAAGCGTGAGGTATGCTTGTTGGCGGGACGATATGAACACGAAATTCATGCTCTCAAAGTCAATGGAACCTGGAGCCTTGTCATTCCTCCTTCCGATATGCATCTCATTGACTCTAATTGGTTTTTAAAATCAAATATTGACATGATGGTAGCAATGAGCAATATAAAGCTCGGTTTGTTTCAAAAGGTTACACTTAGATTGAAGGTGTGGATTACCATGATACTTTTGCTCCCATCAAACGCTTCTCGCTGTTTATGGTCCTATTATTGTAGCTTCCATTAATAGATGGTTTATTCACCAACTTGATGTGAATAACGCTTTTCTCCATGTGGATCTTAAGGAAGAAGCTCACATGAATATCTCTCATGCCTTTGTTGCTAAAGGTGATAAACTGATAATCATGCTTTTCATCTCCATAAGTCTATCTATGGTCTTAAGCAGGCACCTCAAAATTGGTATAATAAATTCACAGTTGCTCTGTGTTAGCTTGGTTTTCAAGCTTCTCCTGCATATCACACCTTGTTAATTTTTCACAAGGGCGCCACGTTCATTTTGGCTCTCATCTACGTCGATGACATCCTCTTAGCCGAAAATGGTTTGGATTTTAACACTCACATCTAAAGGTTCCTCGATGATCATTCAACATCAAGCACTTGAGGACGTTGAAGCATTTCCTTTCTCTTGAAGTTGCTAGATCTCCTTGTGGCATCATTCTCACTCAGCGAAAATATGTCTTACCTATTCTTGAGGAGGGAGGGGTCCTCGATGCTCTCCCTCGTGCTTTTTTGGTTGAGCATAATCATCAACTCACCAGATCCAACTTTAGTCCTCTTATTGATGGTTCTTCTTATCATCATTTGGCGGGTCTCTTCTTTTATCACCATCTCTCGTCCTAACATCTCCTATACGGTCAACATTTTGAGTTTCTTCATCCATGATCCTTCGCAAGCTCATATGGATGTAGCTATGTGTACTCTAATCTATTTGAAGACGTCTCCTAAGCATGTTCTTTATTTCCCAGATGACAACCCACTTGACTTTGTCGCCAATTTGGTCGTGGAATAACCTTTCATGCAACTTTCCACTCTAGATACAAGAGTTCATGATGATCGCATATTACTATCTACTGTCTAGGGGTTGACGTTTAACCAGCTCGTCCCTAATGGTCTCAAAACCAGTGTGATAATATAGTAATTGTAAGGACTTATCAATATAAAACAAAATCTTAATTGATTTACTCATTTACATATCCCAATGAGACTCGGATGTACTTTTATTATCGGATTATTATGAATACTAATGCATTAATTTTAGACAAAAAAGGAAGCGATATTGAGGCGAATGACCATTTTACTAGTTAGCCATGTAAGTTACTTTCTAGTTCTAAGCATGAGAAAGTATTAGAGATGTTATAGAAAACAGGGTAAATGGATTATGTTAATGTTTAACAAGATGATCATTGGTTGTTGTCGCGGTGAGAAAATCATGTATTGATTGTATGCCTGAGAACATTTTTGTGATCTACTAAAAAATTTAGGATTTAACTCTATAAACTCCAAATGTATGGTTTTATCTATTTTCGTGTCATTTTCTGTTCAAGGAAAATACATTTTTAACAAGCACATCCTCCTCCTTGTTGCTCAGCTTGAGATGAATTCACTGTAGGCTTTAGATTTACGTCAACCATATCTTCTTGCTTTGTCGAAGAAAGGGTTTCCATCCCTGGCAGTGCAGCAGCAATTTTGCGAAAAAGTGGCTGCAAATTTATCAAATTCATTTGTTTTCTGTCAATTCTCCCGTACACATATTCTTTTTTTGACCATTTTGTTACTAAAAATTTAAGTGTAAATGAAACCTCTTTCTTACTTTGATATTGAAACCTGCTTTTGCACTAGTCTCTATAAACATAACTCCGAAGTCTTTAGCCTTGCCATCTCCTTCCTCTATCGACACTTGCCTGGTTGGTGAATCCAATCACAAAAACAACATATCATGAACAAGATCAAAACTTGCCTATATGTTCATCTTTTATGTCTTCAAATACGGAAAGGGTATTTCACCACTTCTCCTACCTTTTTTCAACGAGATCGGTTTTGTTGCCAACAAGCACTATGATAACATCACTCCCTCGTTCTGTTCGTACCTCTTCAATCCACCTAGAAGTATTTAAGAATGATTGCCTGTCTAGAACAATAATTAAAGAAAACATTATAAAATCATGAATTTACATGTACCGAACACTAACTTTTAATCTACCCCATTTATTTCCCTAATTTCAAGAAGGACCATGAATTTAACATGTCTTTTAGGAGCATGCTTGTAGACAAGGGAACATGTAGACCTTTCTCTGCCCAAATTAGTTGAAAATTATATCTAATTTGATTAGTAAGAGAAATCGATGAACATAGTACACTTTTACTTCTCAAGTTAAAGCACAGAAGTAGGTTAGGGTTTCTTTGTACATATAAAATCTCCTCCACCCCTTCCCTTACTTTTCTATAGTGGATAATTATTTGACTATCTCACTATACATGAGCAATGATCTAGTGAGATTATGTATTTCATTATACAAGAATGTGTAATAAAAAGGTTAAGTTAACTCACTGGCTACGTCATATACTACGACAGCAACAGAAGAATCTCGAATATAACTAGGAATAAGACTCCTAAATCTCTCTTGTCCAGCTGTATCCCTGTAAAAAAAAATCAACAAATTCATATATTAACCATACGTAAAAAAAAATCACTAAAAGCTACAAAATTAAGATTAGCCCTATGCCCATATTCAAGAATCGACTTAATATTCCTAAAAACTCAACAATCACACAACCAAAATAGTGAAAATCTTATAACTATTATGTAAATATTGATATATGGATGACCATTGCCATTACCACATTAGATGCTCACTTGGGAGTTACATGTAACCCCCATTCCTACATATGATAGCTCCTTTATGTTTCATTATCTCTCATTGATATAAGGATGTAGTGGTTACCAAGGTGTGCCTATAAATAAAGCACACCATTGTATCAAAAGAGAAGGATGAATAAGAAAGCTCACTTCCCCCTATCTTTCTTGTGTCTTTTCCTCTCTAATCTTCTCTTGTAGTTGTTTATATTACATTAGTTTCATAACACGTTATCGGCACGAAGCTCTGTCAAAATTATCATTGCTCAAGCCACTCTCGACATAATCTAAGATATTGGAATAAGATCATAATATGATCAAGGTATGTAAATCTTAGATCCTTTCTTATCGTATTGTCTTATTTGTGTTGAGATTATCTCATTCCAATATATCAAGATGGGTGCTACTTCTCATATCCATTGATATTTTATAGCGTCGATCTATTTGGATTAACAAGGAAAGTAATATAAGTGATGAGTTAATTTCGCAGTTCTCCGTGTTATCCTATTCTTATCAATCATACATTGATATGTAGAAAATGCAAGTTCCAAGAGCCCATATATTCCCCAGAAGTGGAAATTGAAGAATCCAATGGCACAGAAAGAAGTGGACATGGTAACAAGAAGATTGGTTTTGTATGTTACCAATGTAATGGAAAATTGCATTTGTCTCGTACCCGTTGTACGCAAAAGACCTTATTCTACCAAAAATCAAAGGGAAAAACTAATTCATATACGCTCCTGCAATATCAATATTATGAAACATATTATTTGTATTATAAGTTGGTATATTCTCCATTAAAGATGAAAATGATATTGCACTTGAGACATTTTCATTCCCAGAAGTGAATGAAACAATCTATTCCCCGAAGTAAATGAAACTATAAATATAATTATATATATGGTACATGTATTGTTTGGATCTTTTCACCAGAAGTGAGAAAAGAGGAGAAAAAGGAGAATTATAAATAAGTATGATACAACAATTCTATTATCAAAGTCATGATAACATAATGTACCTACATTGAAATGTATAATGAAAGACATATATAAATTTAAAATCACCTAGTTAGTGATGATATTGTTCCAAATAAAGCTTATTTAAATTTTCACAAATGTAGTATTATGATTCTTGTTTTCTATTATGTTTCATTGTGCCATTATTTTCATGCATAATTTAACTTGATAACTTTTATCTAGAACGATTAACTTGATAAGTTCGTCATTTTTGTCTTAAGTTTGAATATTCTCATTTATTATTTTAGTGTGTTTTTGTAAAGTATGATTGTTAGAAAAATTCCATATAAACTATATGGTAGAGTACATAAACAAGAAAAAAAGCTTCCGAAGAGCTTATGTTTGGTTACTTGAAGTAACTAAATTATGTACTCGTGATAATAATTTGTGATGATATTCACTATGAATATGTGTTTACTAAGAATGCATCAAATCATAAGTCCCCAGAAGGGTGGAATATGGTATAAAATATGGTAAAGCTTTAAAGGAGCTAATTTTGTGGCCTGAAGGAACCAAACTAGTGATGATGCATTACCCAATTAAAGGGATATTCGTAAAATGAATATCTTATCAAGAAAATAGTGAAACTAATATTTGCATCACAAATATGTACTACATGTATATTAGTACAATCCATACACATAAAAGTGTAAACCAGAAGTTTACAAGATTTGATAACTTGATAATTGGTTGGTCCGGTTAGACCATCCCGGATCTTGATGTGAAAAAAGGTTCTTTGAGAATTCATGAGAACATCATATGAGAAGTCAAAGAACTCTTCAACTAAAAGAGTTATTATGCCATATTTGTTCTCAAGGAGAATAGAACAATTGATCAGAGCTTGTATAAGAGTTGGCAAATCTCTTGAGATTTTATATGATCACTTTTATTTTATCTAATCGCAACCCGATGTTTGCGAGATTGATTGCCTCACTATGGATACATTTTTATGATTATCCAATCAAACATCACTTTGCTTAATAGAACAAGCTGAGCCTTCTAGTCTCTTGTCGAGGACATGCTAGCTGGCAAGTAATAGTATTGGTTCACATCTAACCAACAAGTTATCATAAGTTTCCCCCCTATTTACAAATGGTTTTGGTCAGAAACCTAACATTTCCCATATGAGAATATAAGGGTGTGCCGCATACATCCCAATTGCTCCACCATAGTATCTTAAGTTGATTCTCGTTGGAAATTGAGAATTTGTGTTGGGTATGAATCCCAAATGGAAAATTTGTTTGCGAAATTATTGTTTTGATGAATCACTTTTCCAACATTAAGGGGGAGAGAAAAAAAAACAGCTAGGAAAAGAAATGAGTTGGAATGAGTTACCATTGTCTAGTTTTGATCCTCAAAGTAAGAAACATGAACCTGAAGTTCATAAGATGAATTATCGTTACCAACTATCAATTGCCTCTACTAGCCATACGAAGTGACCAAGTCGCATATACTAGCTGTGAATGCTCCAACTAAATTTGATATCCTTGTTGGATACTCTAATATAAAAAATGTGTATGAAAGAGCGCATGAAGCGTGATAGACCAATCGGTTCCAATGATAAACATCCTCGAGAAAGAAAAGGAGCTGTAATTAGAATGGTCAACTCGAGGACATGAAAACTCAACAAGAGTAACCAAGGATTAAGTATAATTTTAGTTCCAGAAGAACACATGTCTCTGAAAGTTGTGAAAGGGAAGAGATCTCAAAAATATATTAGACTACAATACTGGAACCGAAATGAAGTCATTGTCGAAGAAATTTGTTTCTTGTACTTCAGTACTGAATATGATATATAAAGTGAGGATCAAGAGTAAAATTCTGTTGATGCATGCAAATGATGACGTTATTGGCCAATATAGAAAGAAATCACGAAAGTGCTCAAAGAGCATAAAGTTTAAGGACCAGAAGTCCTTACACCTGAAAAGGGCAAAAATAGAGGGATACAAACAAATTTTTGTGCTACTGGAAAGTATGAAATTGTGCGAGATATCGCACAATGTTTTGCAATGGGTTTCTCGAAAAGACCTATCATTGTTTAAGAGGAGTTATACTCCCCTGTGGTGGGTACAACTACTTTTTCAAATCAATGTTTGAAAATTGTTATGATAGCCTATTTGTTTGAATTCCTCGAAGATTTTAAATATATTTGAAACTCCCAGAAGGATTATTTACTCCTAGAAGGATTAATTTACCTGAAGTAAGCAAGTAAAGTTCTCGAGAACATATAATGATAGACTAAGAATATCCCCTGTATGGGTTGAGAAAATATAGACGAATGTGAAATATTCATCTAAGTGAACACCTACAATAGTGGGGTGAATGGACCTTAGAAGGTTAAATCCGGATAGAGTGCATTAGAGCATTTGCATTGTGCATATATAGTTGTGTTGTTTGTATGTGCTTCAAGGATTTTAAAATCTTGGTTTATGAGTTGTGTTTTACTTTAAAGTATGAGTTGTGTTTTATGACTGTGCTTTGTCTAGTTCATATGTTTCTATGATGTGAGTTTTGTTATTATCTTTCGTTATATGAAAGAATTGCTTGCATCAATTTGTGTTAGTGAAGTTGTTTTTGTGACGATCTCATATTATGTTGATGATATGACTATTATTGGATCTCCTGAAGAGCTTCCTAAAGCAGTTGATTGCTTAGAGACATAAGTTAAATTGAAGGATTTAAGATCCTTTTTATGGGCAAGGAAGGTAATGTTGAAAAAGTGGGAAATTAATTTTGCATGAACGAATTGTGTTCATCAAATAACATTAGGATCCTAAGATCACTAGAAGTGACCAAAGATCCATTTAGAAATCAAGAAAAAAGTGAAAACATTAGGTCCTGAAGTACCATATGTTGATGCATTAGAGCACCAATGCACCTTGCTAGCCAAGCACCATATAAACTATCAATTTGGTGTTGATAATGTTAGCAAAATACAATGTTTACCTCAATGGAACGTTGGAAATACTTTGTTACCTTCAGGAACAATATATGCGATTGTTCTATTATGATACTATCAAAGAGAGATTTGGTGAACTATATATCCAAATCATATATATTATTTGATCCTCATATTGGTTGATCAGAGACGAGCTATCTCTTACATATGGTGATGTGATTGTTTCATAGATATCCAAAACAAACTATAGTAGGCAAGTCCTGAATGTATTTCGTTACACTTTGTGATTCACCATATCTAAAGGACTTGTGGTTGTAAACTATTTCTAAAGGAAATGATCCTGAAGATCATGGTCCATGGATAAAGAAAATCTAAAGATCATGCATAAGATTGACAATCTGGAAGATTGTTCACTAACTAACTCCCGACAACAATCTTTCTAAATGTTGTTCGTGAAATTTGAGTTCAACGACTCAAAGATTTGAAGTGATGTGGTCATGAGGGGGAGCATATACGCACTGCACTCTTTTTCCCTAACCATGGTTTTTTCCCACTGGGTTTTCCTGGTAAGGTTTTTAATGAGGCAGTATGAGATAGCGTAATGCAATCTAGTGGTCATCCAAGGGGGAGTATTATGTAAATATTGATATATGGATGACCATTGCCATTACCACATTAGATGCTCACTTGGGAGTTAATGTAACCCCCATTCCTACATATGATAGCTCCTTTATGTTTCATTATCTCTCATTGATATAAGGATGTAGTGGTTACCAAGGTGTGCCTATAAATAAAGCACACCATTGTATCAAAAGAGAAGGATGAATAAGAAAGCTCACTTCCCCCTATCTTTCTTGTGTCTTTTCCTCTCTAATCTTCTCTTGTAGTTGTTTATATTATATTAGTTTCATAACAATAACAACATAAAATCATTAGTGCCTCATTCATGCTTTGAACAATTGTTGGTCATGGCACATCCAGTTTAAGTAATGTTTTCAAGAATCCCAGTTGTAGAAGTTTATAATCGAGCCTCTAACTTGTTTCTTGTGTTCCATATTAATGAGGAATCATACTCATCATAAACCATATCAATTGCATACGTCATTCTTGGAAATTAAAACAAACAACTTACCATAACTGCAATCTAACAGTTCGATCTTCGAGATACATTGTCTTTGACAAAAAGTCGATTCCAATCGTAGCCTGAAATATAAGCAACAAACTATATTCAAAATAGAGAAACAAGAAATTGGGAAAATAGCTTCTTAAGGAAAGAACAACAGTATATATAGTGTATAGATTAATGGCAGACACTATAGACAGACAAATATAACTCAAATATAAAATAAGCGCAATAGAAAAAAGGTTATAAAAAACCAGACCTGATAAGTGGTGTCAAACTTATCGTACATGAAGCGAGTGATGATGCTGGTTTTTCCTACGGACTGATCGCCTAAGAAGACAAGTTTGTACTTGGCGAGAGGGGACACTGTTGCCATTGTCAATCTTTGTGATTGTTCTATTCGTCTTCTTTTTTCAACCAGAGGAGGAAAGTAGAAAAAATATATTTCTTTTTTTCTTTCTTTCCAGGAATTGTGTGATGGTTAAAATGTTTGATCGAGTTTGTTTGAGATCTGAATCTTCAGATGGAGAAGCAATTGAATTAGAAAAGAAAATTGATAGTTTTCTTTCTTTCTCTCCGTCTCCTTTGATGGAAAGAAAGACCAGATAAAATAGTGGAAAGAATGAGAATGGAAAAAAGAGAAGGAATTCAGAAATTTAGTCACTTTGAGTTTGGTATATATAGGGGGCGAGATAAAATCGCCAATTCTTCGAACATACTTGCTTATTTATTGTACTCCATTATTTTTTCAACACTAATCTACAAGGTCAATCAAGATAAACATCTTATTAATTTATTTGTTTTATCGTAAACCTGTATCTTGTTATTTTTATTTAGACTTCACATGTCTTATCTGAATATGTAAAATTGTTGTAACAGTTGTGGGGGAACCATTTATCTAGTTTATCCTAATTATTTCTACGATAAGAAAACTATAATTTCTCAGTTTGGATGTAAGAGATTATTTCAAAATTCTTTCTTTTCCTAGCAATATAGATTGGGGTTTGAATATGGACTTTCTATCGAGCCCAATTCAACGAATTAAAAGAGTCTATTCATCTTTTCAAATTAATATTCCAGAGAGTCATATAACCATGATCCATACACAGATCAGAGATCCAATTTAACCTCTTAACTTAAAAGAACAAACTGAGTCAGTTTAACTTTGTTTGATGGGAAATTCTATAGTGCCAGTCCTAACCGGTTCCGCACATCATAACCGGCTACTGCAGGTTTGGTAAGGATGAGAGAAACGTATTGCACTTAGAGGGGTTTTCATAGGAAAGACAATGCAGTCAAAAGCTATCTTTAAAACCTAAACATTTACGCTTTGGAGCCCTCAAAATTGTAGCTTTTGGTTGGAAAAAGCTTTATGCACTGAAAGCCCAAGCAAAAGCTCTCAAGCCTAGTAAAAGGTTTAGAAGATAGCTTTTAAACCTCTTTTTTAGACTTTTCATATTCAAGTATTAGGACAATATTATAGGAGTGTGTAATTGTCCGTACCAAATCAAACCTTGAGTACCACATTCCAAAGTAAAAAAATTGGGACCAAGGACTGGACCAACATTACGTTCGGCCCAGTGTGATCCGGTTTTGTCTGGTCTAAATATGAACCAGTCTAATTTTCCTTCAGTATTTATAGAATTCATAAGACCAAGAATTAGACTGCATTATATTCCGTCAGTTTTGTCTGTTCTCGATGTTGGCTTGGTACGATGCAGTCTTCTCTGGAACAAACTATTGCACGACTACCATATTGGGTCTGGTTGGTTCAAATTTTCTAGCCAAAATAGAAAAATGAAAAAAAATTATTTTTCTTTAAGTCGGGTTATCCTTTCAGTCTTCTCTTCTCAAATTCATTATCCCTAATTCATTCCCACTTCTCCTTCTTTCTCATTTTTTCTCTCCATCCAGATTCCTGCCGCCAACGTCCTTTCCATCCTTGCAGACCCCACCCCACCCCTATGACTACAATTTTGTTTAAGCTTGTCTTCGTCAACCTCCCATTTGCCACCACTTTCACTTACTAGTGAAGGTTGCCTACAACACTTCTCATATTTTTTTTCTCGAAAGAAGGAGAAAGGCAGTGGATACTTGTTTAAAAGTCTATTAATTTAATTTATGTGTGAGAGTGATCTTAAATATATGAGCTAGTTCGCTTATTTTTTTATATAATTTTCAAAATAAAAGTTATGATTAGAAAATGTATATCAAATTCATATAATGTTAGAAAGCTTACGCTTTTACGCCTCCACTTTTACCCAAATTTTACTTTTACATAGAATTTAGACTTTGACTACATTGGCTAAACATGTTTTTCTTTGCTTTAATTTTCTTTTCCATATAATGTATTTTAATACTTTTTATTATTGGATTCATTGTTGGTTTGTAATATTGTATGCGAGATGATCGGTACTAAACTATATTATACAAAATCTTAGAAACTCTTAATCTATAGACATCCAATGAAATTTGATCCAATGACCCACAACTAATAAAAAATTAGGAGGGTAGACGGGGAATTCTTTACCTCTCTATCTTTTATTATTATTATTATTATTATTATTATTATTATTATTATTATTATTAACTGATATAAATCCAAATGAGAGAGAAGACACTTTGGATCAATCAAACATTACTTTTTCTAATTTCCTAGTTTTCCTTAATCATGTCATATCTCACTTGTTTTAACTCGTAATTTAAAAAATTGCATATAAAAACGCTTAATTATGACATACATAGTGATATTTATTATTATATATTTTGAGCAAAATAAAAATTAACTTTTCGAAACACGCTTTGGTCATAGTAGTATCACTATCATACCATCATGATATAATAGTGCCATGATGATATATCTCTTTCATTTTAACTCAAAATCTAACATACCGTTTGGTATAAATGAATTTCATAAGTTTTGAGGAATTCATTTTGAAATGAAATATTTCCGTGTTTGGTATTAAAAAGAATTCATTTTCAATTCTAAATTTTGAATTCTACGGAATTGGAACTAGTTATAGCAATTCCGAGGAATTGAGATGGAATTTCCAAATGAATTCCACGAGAATTTACTAATTATAATAGAATGACATGTTTATCCTCTTTTATTAACTAAATTACTTATACATATGACATACCAAACACAAGAATTCATTTGACAATGAATTCTACACAACACTTCATTTTATTTCTAAAGATTTGAATATAACCTACCAAACATAAGATTTCATTTGACAATGAATTCTACATGGTAATTCATTTTACAATGAAATGAATTCTCGATTCATTTGATACCAAACGGTCTGTAAAAGAAAATTATAGAAAGAACTTATTAATTATGATCTACTCAATGATATCCATTTTATTATGGTTAAGCAAAAGAATAACTACTCATTCAAAAACACATTTTTGCTTCACTGTTATATCAAGATCTAACAAATATGGTACCATAGGTAACACTATCATACCATATTGTCATATCATGATATTATCACTATGATAATATGACATCATGATATAATAATATGATATCATGATATGAAACTGATAAGATGACATCAATTTTTGTGCTCAAAGATAAAACTTAATACTATTCATACAATCATACCAATCAGGGGCGGACCTAGATAGTAAAGAGTTGTGTCGACCGACACACCTCCGCCTTAAATTTTGTGAGTGAATTATGTTTCATTGGTATAAAAAATTCAAATTAGACACTTCCGACACACCTCCAATAAGTACAACCGACACATCTTCCTTACATTACATGGAATTTATGAATTTATTGCTACAAAGTTATTAAAATATGTGTTATTCATTTTAATTTTTAATTAACTATAAAATTCAAATTATTTTAGTTTATTTAAAAAAATCCCACCAACAGTGCCCCCATTCTCGTTCAAGATTCCATGACTTTCTCACTTTAAGCTTCTCATCCACCTTTCTCCATCTCACTAGCTTTTACCCAATCCGTGGGTCGGATGAATTATTATATTTATTATTTTTTTATGTTAATCATTTCGTTTATATTTTAAATTATTTGAAATTTTTTAAATAATTTTTTTTCGTTGAATATTTTTTTTAAATAATTTATTTTTTAAATAATTTATTTTTAAATATATTTTTTAAAATAATTTATTTTTAAATATATTTTTTAAAATAATTTATTTACAATTTGAAATTAATTTTTGTGATATTATTAATAATTAGTTCATATTTTTATTGATCCATGTAGGTGTAAGACGACTTATTCCAAACTTGTGAAGGAGTATTTATTCCAAATTCTTTTATTTTTTATTTAACATAAATAAATTCATTCATATTATTTCAGGAGATGGTCTAGTGGGGATGAGAACATTCAAATATGGAGTCAACGACCAACAAAAATTCAATCACATTTTAAAATAATTTGGGGCATTCTAAGTAGTTGATTCATGATTTCAAAGTCATTTTTGTGCTACGTGTTAATTGTGGCATTAGTGGTAATTAGTTCAAAGATATTTTAGTTGATAAAATCATCCTAACTTATTGTTGTCTGTATATTTTTTGGCATTTTAGAAGAAAATATTGCACTTGTTGTCACCTTGAATTGCCTTGAAAGGTACTTATTTATAAAAGCCGGTATCATTAACTTGATTGTCTATGGCAATTATGCAATGAAGTAGTAATTAAAAACTTCAAGGAATTGATCAATTGGTATAATATGGAAGGACAAAAATCACCAAATACTGTGTTCAAAATTGATTGTCAACAATCATATAAAAATGTGTGAGATAGTAAAATTGTTGTCGTTCATTAGTATGTCTTTGATTTGCATGCATCAAAACTAATCTAGATAGTGTTATTCTCTATAAAATAGCTTGCTTTCGATCCACCAATCCTCTAGGTTCTTACCCCCCACCTAATCTTTGCCCTAACCCTGTCCATAGCCAGCTCATCTGCTTCTCCCGCCTTGTTGAAACCCCAACAGTAGTGGCCTCTACGATCTTAGTCTCGCTTATGGCCGAGCATAATCGCAGTTGGTTTTTGTATCAAAGTTTTCTATAAGGAATTAACCTATATACATGTTAAATAAAGGCACGTATTACAAAAATGTGACTTAGATTGAGTTCACTTATAGTTTTGTTGGTTATAGTTTCATTTATCGAAATCATTCTCCACCCAAGTTCCCATCATCATGTTCAGATTCTACTGACAAACAATAGCCCATAGCTCAACTTAGCTAACAGTCGGGACTAACATGTATCTAGTCCATTTTAGGATGGTCTTTTTTTCCATCAACTTCATCATCTGTGTGATGAATATCTCCCACTATGTTGTCGAGATAATTTTTTGTAAGCATTAAGCAACCTTCTTGGATGCTACATCATTAAAATAATAAATTCCAAATAGTTTCTGCCGCACACACAAAGACGGGATATTGATGACACAAAGTACACCAGTGCAACGCTAATTCCCAGTGAGCCAACCCAACTTGGGGAGCTTCCTGCTGCAGGAACTTCTTTTCAAAACATTTTCAAAATTAACAACACTAATCTTATAAACTTATAAACAACAAAGTGTGATGCAGTACAAAAATAGCAATGAAATGCACATGATAAATTTGTCTGCATCCCTCTTCTAAACGAGGTTAAAACGGACAAGTGGG